CCATCGGTCCCTTGGTGTTCGTCCTAAAGAGGGTCGACTGGATATCATTAATACTCACCGAAAGATGTGTAAGATTGTATTATTATGGAGTGCCTTGTTTATCTCTCAGTACCTCCAACCATAGCTTTGCCCCTTTTGTCCTCAGGATCAGTGTAGTTGTTGGAACCAGGTGTCGGACTCTGCAATGTGTTTGTTTACATTTTAATACATGTTTATTGTTCCTCCTTTGCTGTGTTGTTTTAGAAAATCGTGGACTAACAGTTTGAGGTCATTGAACTACTTCCAAAAGTTGTATCGACATCAACAGGATTACGATTTCAGTGCAATACATGTATGATGCAGGATGACCTTATCACGATAACCCATGATTATAAACCATTATAAACACAGAATCAACAAAACATCTGCGACACGCACCTGGTTCCATTTCTCAAATAAATCTGATCGAGGGTGGGGAAATCTGAAATATCTGAAAGGCAAGACAATTTTATGACAGTCATGAAATTCTGCTACAGCAACATGCACAGAATGACGTCTGTATAAAAAAAATATCACCACGGTCCACCACTACTCACATGTTTCCCCGCAGAAGAACATGCTACAAAAAAAACTATAGTGCCATTTTCTGCAAGAAAAGGCTTGCACATCAATGCATATAATACGGTATTGATATGATGTGAAGACCATCATTTACATATTGATATAAGGCATTCCATTGATTGGTGACAGAAAAAACAAAAGAAATTATAGCAATAAAAACTGCTTTATGGCAGTTTTCTAAAAAAAGTTATTGTGTTCTAGTCCATGGACCCCGTCTAAAAAGTAAGAAATTAACGAAATGTGATAGCCAAAAATTAAAATTTCACACAAAACCTCACAATAATCACACACAGAATGAAAAGCTACATGTAGAAGACCTTTTCCCCTCGTGATCCTCTTTCCTATGCATGCATGACTGCATGTTGCCAATTGTTGGTGCAGTACAAGTTTAGTGTTGAAAGCAGCATTTCAAGTGTTGTGATTATTGTGAGGCTTTGTGTGAAATTTTAATTTTTGGCTATCACATTTCGTTAATTTCTTACTTTTTAGACGGGGTCCATGGACTAGAACACAATAACTTTTTTTAGAAAACTGCCATAAAGCAGTTTTTATTGCTATAATAAGAGAATAGGATACTAATAACTGCGAGTAAACGGGGGGGGGGGGGGGGAGAGAGAATACGATGTATCTGTGATGCTACTTGAGGGTTATGAACTGCACGGGGAGGGAGAGCAGAGCGATCAGCAGCAACTCGAACTACTCCCTACACTGGACTGTCTGTGCTTCCTGTTGGTCCCAAGCTGCATGACATGCATGACAGCATGTCCATTACGCAGAGGTTGCAAAGGGAGTTCGCCCTGCTTCCTTGCGCCTTGCTGGTTTGGAAGCTCTGCGAGTATGTATCCAAAAAAAATTAAATTTTAATTTTACTTCACCGTCCAATATGCAATGGCAGAAGGCAATGCAAAGGAGGGGGCGTTAGCCAGCTATGGCAAGAGAAGGAAAAGAAAGAAAAAAGGGTAGAACATAATAACTGGAAGAAAAGAACGTTTCCCCTGGGTTGTGTGCACAGAAACAGGACGTGTTGGCTTTGCAGTTCTTTGCACGGTACGTGCTAGTTCTCGTCTAGGCCTGAGAAGTGAAAACAGCTTGCGTGATACAGTTCGCAGGGCTTGGGTTGCGATGTCCTATGCTAGAAGCGTTAATATTCGTTTGTTTGTTGACAGGCTTATTATTGTCTCTTACTCTGTGCAGTGTATGTCCTTGCCAATCACTACATTGTATTCTTCCTCCGATTCTTAGTAGCAGTAAGAGTAACAGCTACAGTGTAGTAGCAGTAAGAGTCGGTAGCAGTGAGAACACATACATGAACATACTACATGGACAATCATGTACATCGTTTTTTACATCTTTACTTGAGCAAAACACACTCACATGTATTTTTCGCCATTCGTGATAGAACGTCGAGTCTTAGGGAAGTTATCAGTTATCAGGCTATGGTGGCCAGGCTTCGCTACTCTTATCAGGTAATGCCAAGAGTACATATGTAACCGGTTATGTACTCTTGCTAATACTAATAGAATACTAACTGCCACTCTAACTACTACTACTGGTACTCTTTCGCACAGGGCGACATCACCACCACTGCACCAGGATTCCACGGCTACACGTAGGAGACTCCACTGCCAACAATGACTGCCACTGTGTCTCGATCTCACGAAGTCATGCATGCATGAACAGAATACATGTACAATGTACATGTACGAGTACAGTACTTTTTTACGTGTGGTTTTTGGATTTTACTGCAAGAGGAATGATGAAATCACGTGCATCGTGACGTAGAATTTTTTTGATATTTTTGTAAATGGCTGTGAATACAGTCTAATGCCATCAAATACAAGTACAGTACTTATACTTGAAGTACATGTACCACCTACGCATGCTTGCAGGTTCTCTAACCTTCTGTATGATGTACAAGATTAATGTAAATAATTGCAGTACAGTACATGTACATGTACATGTAATTCTCTGATAAACACCCACACATAATGTCGTAACTAACTACTTACTTGTACGTGTACGTGTACGTGTACGTGTACGTGTACAATGCTATTGTCATGTACATGTAGGTCGACCCGTTCTGCTTCAGACTTACAAAACCAACTGTTGCTCTTGCTTCAGATTGTCTTTTAGTTCCCTTGTTCAAGAGTATAGTTTGAGCGATAATCGTTCCGTTTGAGTTTTTTTAAAAGTCTGTTCTCCACTGGCTGCATGCGAAGTGATAAGGGATTAGAAAGCCAAACACCACGAAGGTCTAACGCCCAAAGTACAGACTGCAGACTTACTTTAATTAACAATGGCAACTACGCCGTCAGACACAGATGTGAGGAATCTGCCTGTGAAACCGAGGCTGATTTCAACACCGGAGGTAAGCAGTGACTACGGTTGTTCACTTCACCTTACCTTTCAAATATTTTAAAAGGTACTGAAGAGGTTCTCAGAAAAGCGTTCAGAAAACAACGACGTCAACGGTGATTAGGCATATGCGGATGATGCCGGCAGAAAATTGACAGAATTCGGTACTTTTTCTGGTAAGTTTCATGCATGTTTGGTTTGTGGATAAAGAAATGGAGCAGAATTCGAGGAATTGCCCGCCATAAGGTTTGTATGGTTCTGCCAATTTCACTGCTTTTCGAGCAGAATCTGCCACATTTTCGAACATTATCCGCACACCCCTAACGGTGATAACAGCCACAACAACAGCAACGGAAGCAGTAGCAGCAACAGTGATAGCGGCGGTGGCGCAACAACACCACCAACGTGTAGATGGGGTGTTCCGACGTGGTGAAGGCCTACCCATGGCCGTGTCGGGACATCACCAACCTCGTATTATTGTTATTCTTTTATTCCACGATGGCGTGACGCCAATAAGGATGATTGATAAGTGCGATAGAACTGGTACTAGCCAGAAACAGCTAGATGGAAATTAACTGGGGAGGCAAGAAGCAATGGATCATGAAAAACAAGCGGGGGCAATAACGTTAGCAGGGGTGATCGAGATAGTTAAGTTATGGCCACTTGCAAGTACGAAAAAGGCACAATTTTCTCAACCTTTAGGCTCCATAAGTACAACAAAGTGATATGTATCCCCGCGTTCCAAAGCATAATATGAGGATTTTTGCGAGCATAATGACAGAATCCATGATTTCGCGAGCATAATCCACCGAAGCCTAATTATAATTTGTGTACGTACTCTGTTGTCTTCTCCCCTTCTGAGTCCTGAATAGGCATACATGTACATTGTATGCAGATAATCCCGGCAGATAAATTGGCAGAATTCGGTACTTTTTCTGGTAAGTTTCATGCATGTTTGGTATGTGGATAAAGAAATGGAGCAGAATTCGAGGAATTGCCCACCATTGTTGGTTTGTACGGTTCTGCCAATTATTATTTCACTGCTTTTCGAGCAGAATCTGCCGCCTTTTCGAGCATTATCCGCACACCCCTAGCCCTACTTCTGACGAGCAGGTACGTAGTCTACGTGTCTCGCGTAGTGTACTACATGTATAATCTTAGTAAAAAATAATTTCATAAAAAACTTCAAAAAAACTTATTTTGCAGCAGCGGCCACCGGCGCGGCACGGGGTCTTGTAACTAGCGTTACTTTGTCGTGTTTACGTGTCTGACAGGCGCACGCGCCCGACTTGCGATTTTGTTGATTTTCTCGTGCAGCACTGATAAAGATGCACTGCACTGATCTGAGTCTACATTATAATTTATTATCACTCCCTTAGTATTGACTCGCATAGATTTTTGCCATACCTAAGCAGTCAAATATTCCTGCATATTTCACTCCTTAGGGCTATATTGACTGCTTATATTTGACTGCTTAGGGGTTGCGCAGTTGAACGGTGCCTAGTGCAGCATTTTCACTGCATGAGTAGGTGGTGGTGCAACGATTGTGCAATCATAAAACCGGGATTCATGAGGTTATCGTTCTGGAATTTGAAATACGGACTGTTTGTCGTGATAAATCTAATATTGACTTCGTACTTGGTCAATAGGAAATAAAAGACCTCGTAAGAGACCTCGGCTTCGCCTCGGTCTTTTACTCGGCTTTTATTTCCTATATTAAAATTAAAGGCTACATGTATATTGACCTCATGCTCAGTCAATATTAGATACATAGTACATTCGATTCGTAGATGTCTTCTGGTGACTGTACTCTGTAGTCTAGAGAGTAGAGTGTAGTCTGTAGACGGTAGACTGTTTAGACCAGGGAGTAGTAAAATACGTATTTTTACTACTCCCTGCTACCATGTATGATGTAGACTACATTGTAGTCTAGATCTAACAGTCTGTCCTGACTCCAGTCCTGACCTGGGCCCTGTACCAGTGTACTGGCCTGGGCAGCCTGTTGTAGTCCGCACTACGCCACTAGTAATGACTTGTAGTTGTTGCTCCCCGTCACTGCGACCCACTCTCCACTCAGACTCCAGTCCACTGTCCAGTCCAGGTGCGCGCACAAGATCAGCGAGGAGAGTTGTTTGTTTTATCAGCTGAGTGTGTGTGCGGGTGTTCGCACATAAGCCTCAGATCCTTCCTGCCCTGAATACGTGATCTTCCTGTTTGTGATTATTCGGCGTTGCTTTCTGCACCGCCAGGAGAGGCTCACTCCACGGATTAGGAGCAGATTTCGTCTTGGCTATAAAATTTGATCAGTCGCACCCCCAGACTCAGATCGACAGCCGCTGTTGAGAGTTTGCTGTTCGAGAAAATTACTAGAGTTGTAGTACATTCCGTGTCGCTCTTCAGTGTTGGGCAGTCGTCATCGCGTGGCTGAGTGTCCGCGGAGCTTTGCTGTTTGCGCAGCGTGAGCCCCAGGGTTTGATTCTGTTCTGCTGTTTTGTTGCCCACGTGAACGTATGGAGAAATGAGCTCACAGTATTTGGAACCGGTAAGCCATTTATTCTTCATTTTTCCCCACATGGAAATTATTTGCTTTACTTTCCTCCTTGTTCTGGCATTCTCTTGCCAGGAGCATTCGCTGTCTTGATTGTGAGTGGTTGCTGTAGAGCATCGTGTGCCCATGTATCTTGCGCATCGTCTTGGCCTGTTCTTTCTGCCTCGCGATTCAATCAGTTTTTTTTGTGTTCATAGTGTAGTATTCTCGGACTCTGCCTCGGACCACTTATATCGATACTGGAACATTCTCAGGCGGTACTTTATCGCGTTCAGGCGTTTGGTGTCCAACAGCAGATGGCCAAAGCGAATTTCATGAAATGCGAATTGTCGATTAGGCGTTGCTCACGGTTGGAGGAAAACTGTTCGAGTTGTAATCGTGTCGTGGCTGTAGTGAATCACCAGCCATTCGGCAATGGTGTATCATAAGCACCTTGTTTGTAAATTGTAGGCCCACGCTCGCTTTTTCCTGTCCTCTGGGCTTTCCTGTGTATTTGACTATGTTTTTTGTTCTCGTATTCATAGATGCCGCCTTTCAAATAGTTGAATTATTATTTGCACTCGACACTTCCTTCGCTTGTTGCAAGTCCTTTTGCGTTCAGCGTCGATCGAATAATCGGCCATAGCGATTGAAATAGAAGATTATGCCAAATGGGGCGGCACCAGCCTGTCGATTTAGACGGCACAATCGTTGTGTATGCAGCGATTAGTGACATTTGCGTGCTCCCTCTCGATGAAAAGGCGGACAGCAGAGGACCTCTTCGCCTGATAGGACAATTCTTTGACGCACTCTTTACAACAATCGCGAATAATATAAATGGCATTTGAAAGTTTTTTTTATTATGAACCAACATTTCCCACGCAAATTTCTCCAGGGTCAAAATGATGGTGAGGCCCGTTGAGTGGTGAATTCATTCAGCCTCCTGGTCAATGCAATAGTGAGGTAGTGCAATAACTGTACATGTAGGTAGTAGCTCTGGATTGCTGAAGGTTGCTGGTCGTGTAGTACAATCATGTAGCTTGCAGTAGCTGTTGCAGCACGGTCTGTGGAAATACTGTAAACTGCCTAATATTTGCGACGGATTAATATTCGCTATTTTCGGGAGAAGTCCGCAACGCGAGTATTAGCCAGCGTGAAATCAAGCTACAACAGTGGGTGCATGTAGGTGGCCCCGGTGCTTCGCGAACTTTTGCCATCGCAAACTTGCTGGTTGTAAGAAATCGCGAAAATTTAGTGACGCGAATATTAGGCAGTTTACAGTGGGTCACCAGTATGATTGGGAGGGGGGGGGGGGGAGGTGGCAGCGTTCCTACGGATGTGGAAATTTCTGCCTCCAGCCGAGTCTCATGCTACCCGTAATTTCTATTTAATTTATTTTTTTATGATCCACACCCATACAAATTAGCCCCCCCATGATTTTATAGCTAGTTGGATGACTAAACAGTTTGTCTGGCAACCGACTAGAGATTCATTGCAACAAGCAGACGCCCTGTGCGGATAGTAGACAATCTGCTGCTCTCCAGCCATCCACTCATTTACATTCAGGACCGTGATTACCAGAACGGATGGCACCCTGGTTCTTCATAAGTTCGAGGGAGGAAACTCCTGCTCTTCGTAAGGCCGTGGGAGAAAACGCCCGTGTCTTCCGGAGATAAACAAATGGTCACCATGTTCAGGCATGGTTTCTGACAACTGCGAATACTACCATTCCGCCTGAGCGCTACTGTTGAGAATTTTGTGTTTGTTTCTTCGAAAGCTTTGGAGTCTAGCTGTATTGACGTCAGCTCCAAATCAAGAGAGGTGACTTGAAATAGTTGCTGTGTTTGTGTGTGTATGTGTGTATTTGTGCGTGTGTGTGTGTGTGTGTGTGTGTGTGTGTGTGTGTGCGTGTGTGTGTGTGTATGTGTGTGTGTGTCTGAGGTCTGAGGTGTGTGTGTGTGTGTGTGTGTGTGCGTGTGCGTGTATGTGTGTGTCTGTATTTATGTGTGTATGTGTGTGTGGTGTGCGCATGTGTGAGTGTAGTGTTGTGTTGACACGAAACGCGTTGCGGCCGTAGTGTGTCTAGCATAACCTCTTGACACTAGGGGCAGAGTAGCGAAAAACGTTCAAAGTGACAAGATTGTTCTTCAGAGGGCCATTGGCGCTTGTTTGACAGGACTAAAACTGGCCTTGAAACACCAGTGCGAAGCCAAAATGAATTCGGACCCCAAACACTGGGCTCTGGATATCATACCATATCACGCATGATTCATTCTTCTTCTTATCTGTTTACACAAGCTGCCACGTGTACATGTCCACCAGCAAGCAGATGCTACGAAAGCACGGCAAGGCATGATAACAAGGCGGAATGCGTGCACAGAGTCACAGTTGTCTCGTCAATGTCCACACTACAGTACTGGCGGGGCGATGAAAAATGGAGCGCCAAACAACGGGGAGGCTAGAATTTTACTAAGCACAGCATACCAATGCATACAGGATAGCTCAACTGTGCATAGACTATAGTAACTTGCATAAAAATAGGAACGGACCACCCCCCCCCCCCCCCCCAACTCTACACCTGGAGGTGTTGAATTATCCTTCACGCCCGTTCTTTCTTGAATGTACAACGTTGGTCGAGATGGCAGCTTTCTTTCATCCTGTCAGCACCTCCGGCATCTTGCAGCCTGCGCTTTCCCGGCAGCTGCTGGGAAAGGGATGCCAAGTGGTAACACATGCTCTGCTTGTTGTGGCTGTTGGTTTTGATGCTCCCTAACTACCCGTGCTGCAAGCGGACATGTTAGGGTTTGCACTAGTCATACCATGCGCCATACAAAGGTTAGCAGCGTTCCGCCTACACCTTGGGTATTTTAGTAGCTGTGTTCTCTGATGTGGACTAGTCTATATTGTGTATGTGCTGGCTGCTGGTCAGTCAATCTTCTTATTCAGTCTGATTGTAATGGGATCAAGTTCCAGGACAATAGTGTGAAGACCTCCACAATCAATGATTGTGTGTGTTTGTATGTGTGTGTGTTTGTGTGTGTGTTTGCACTTGTGTGTGTGTGTGTGTGTGTGTGTGTGTGTGCACGCGTGCCTTTGTGCATGATGGTGTGTGTATTGGTCTTGTCCAGGGTGCCCGCGTGTGGGTGAAGGGCAAGGTAACATGGCAGCCGTGTACCGTCGTGTCCGCCGGTCCCATGATCAAGTTCAAGTCCGACTATGGCGAGGTAAGTGTATGTATGTGCAGCTGGTCTCCCTGTTAGGGCGGGGGGGGGGGGGGGGGGGGGTACATGGCCGCGTATGTATGAATAAATATATAAATAACAGCATTACGTTCTGGAATTGTTTCATTTTAATTGTTTTGTACTTGGTTATGAGGGCAGAAATGATATTTTTCATTGCTATTTTTACAACAGCATTGGGTAAATAATAAATATGTGCAGGATGGCTGGCGCGTGTCTTTCATGGTCATTATGTGCATGCTGAACCTAGGTCGAATTTGTTTTTAGGGTCGGGGGGGGGGGGGGGTGCACATGCCCCCCGTTCCCCATGCGGGCTACTCCCCTGATGTACATGTATCTGTATGGCATGGCCTGTGTTGATTGCTTGTAGAACTTGGAGTATTCACAGGATGTGTGCACCCACGAGACGGTCACGCCGATGCACCAGTCCAGCGTGGAGGGTGTGGAGGACATGGCCACGCTCTCTGATCTTCACGAGGCTGCCATTCTCTACAACATCAAGCTACGCTACTCCAAGGACATGATCTACGTGAGTAAATACGTAAAGTAAATGATCGTGGCCGTTCCCGAAGGGAACTCACGACGGCCGCAGGCATCCGGTACTTTAAATATACAAAATTTCGGCGCTGCAAAATTTCGGCACTTCACGATTTTTTACATTTCGGCGGCGATTTTATTTTCGGCGTGGGGTAGAGGGCATGGTGTAGTGCGACAGATGCTGTGAAAAATTTCATCGGCGTTGTAATTTTGGCGTTTTGGGTCGGTGCCGAATATAGCCGAAATTAAATAGCTGCCGAAAATTTGTATATTTACAGTAAATCCTAGCGGCAGATGCAGTGCCTAACTGTGGGACTTGATCTACGTATGCTTGCATGAAACGTTCTATGCAGATGTACCCTTCTTTCCGGAGTATATGCTGCACTGGAGTACATGTACACGCTGCACTGGAGTATAAGCTTGGGTGTGTGTGTTTGCATGTGTTTCGGTAACAGACATACATTGGCAGTATCCTATCCGCTGTGAACCCGTACAAGTCGATCGGTGACCTCTACTCAGATGATCTGATTAAAAGGTAAGACTGATATGTGTTGAGGTCAAGATCTTCTTTTCCGCACCAAGTTCTCACCTCATCCACATTTGCTATGCTAGGTACGTTTGTTCGCATTAGAATTGTACGGCTTTCCGCGTTTGAAATGTTCCTTGTACATGTATATCTATGCAATGTTCTGTTGACCTACGCATGTATGTAATGCACTGTCCCGCAATCACCACGCGGACACAAAGTAGTTGAGGAAAGACATTGTTATTGCCGACAAGACTAGGGGTAGAGACAAAGTCACTTTACTGTGAGAATGTGCATTGTGTCAGGACAATGTGTATTGTGTCAGTGACTGGATTTAAGGCTAACAATGATAACTCCTAGCCGGAGAAGGTCTGTTCTTCGTTGGACTATCGAGAGCACTCTATTGACTTATTTTGTTGTGCAGTTGTGGATATTGAAATCTGATTGGATGACCGGGGCTGGTGCCCTTTCTGCCTTATATAGGCTATTCAGACTATGGCCAAAATCACGTCTGAACTTGAGTTTCCATGGTGATGCAGTCGTGTTTCAAAATTGTATGTACAATCGCTGATCAAACACGTCGTGAGTCGTAGAAACGTGGTTACAGTTGGCCGTAGTCTGAATAGCCTATTAGCGAGTAAATACACGGTAGTTCACGTACACACTGCAAACATTGACCAGCAGTGCTCGTGGCTGCTAGGCCAACGCCCCGTAGCCTCTTGACTTCTCAACGAATTTCAATGTCTGTTACGGCACAATGGAGCTCTGAGACGTATCCCATGTATTCTCTCTTCGTCGTGTCGTTTCTTCTTCCTCCAGGTACACGAAGCAGCATCTCGGTGAGCTGCCTCCACACATCTACGCCATCGCTAACGAAGCGTATCAGTCGTTATGGCGGCAGGCTGAGAACCAGTGTGTCCTGATCAGGTGGGTTAGTGATGGTGGTACCAGTGTTGAAAAGTGATGTAATGTTTTCCTTTGCGATGACGTTCCCCAAACTGTCTTCGTCTAGTCGTGCTCATGTGTGATGTTGTAGTCAAGAGTCATGTTGTCGGTCTTTTTGTTCGTCCCGTAGGAGTTGTTATGCCTGTTTTCCGTCATGTCCTAACAGTAATATAACTGCAGTGATGCAAACTAGTACTTGTTCTTTGTGTTCCTGCGTCCGGGGGAACGGCATGGCTGTGATTCCGTAACACCACATTGTGTATGTGTGAACCCTGTATGCGGTGAGCAAAGACTGAAATGTATTATTTTATAGAAAGAAAAGTGGGTCAGCGTGGTGCAGTGTTATCGCATGAGCTGACTGTAAAGTAACTGATGGTGCTGGTGGACAGTATAGCATAACTTGTATTTCCTGGGTCCTTTCTCTTCCTATTATCCTTGCCTCTCCATCTGAGTCTAACTGCAATGTATTTGCTTGTTCTCTGTTTCTGTGTGTTCTGCACTTAGCGGTGAGTCCGGTGCTGGTAAGACGGAGTCGACAAAGTTTATTCTGAGCTTCTTGTCGGAGATGAGCTTGTCGCACGCCGAAACCGCCGCCACCAGCAGCAAGCGCAGTGTCAACGAGGCTATCCTACAGAGCAGGTATGTGCTAGGCTACAGTAAAGCATGTGATTTTATGACTTGGGGCTCCCCGCCCCGCGTGCTAGTTTGTACGTGAAGGGTGTGGGTTACAGTGAGGGCTGCGTCCCACCCGCCTGTGTGGATTCACAGGAAGTGTGAGGTACGAAGTCGGAAGAAGAACGGTCTCTGCTGGGATGACGACTTCGCCATAGCTCAGTGGTTAAAACATCACTGGCCTCAAGCGAAGGTCCCTGGTTCGAATCCTGCTGGTGACAGTCAAATATTTTCTTCAGACTTTTCCCGTTTGTTTCTTTCCCTCAAACCAGTGAAAATTGTAGTTGTATTAAAATGTCAGTGTCAGGCATCTGACAGGTTTCATGTGTAATGTAGAATTAGGTGGCCAGCTTTCCCACATACAGTGCATAATCTACTGACTTTTACGTTTTATACAAAATTTAGGTGCCTGGTTTCTCTACGGAAATTACCGAAATTATCCCTTTCACTGCCTGCTGACCACTCGAGGTGACACGGCGTTCCCTGCCAGGCTGTCAGCTGAGCTGTACACCCCTCCCCTCTCTGCAGGCACTGTTTACCTCTAGCTAAAAAATCGAAAGGCTAACTTCTTGTGGATTTTTGTACGTGTGTGTGTGTAGTAGACGGACTTTCTACCGTATAGTACGTTATTTTGTGTACGTCGCGTGTACATCATGTTGGCGCATGCGCGTGTTGCTACGTGTGTGTGCGTGTGTGTGCGTGTGTGTGTGTGCGTGTGTGTGCGTGTGTGTGTGTGTGTGTGTGTGTGTGTGTGTGTGCATTTGTGTGTGCATTTGTGTCTCCTCAGTCCTATTCTGGAAGCATTTGGCAATGCCAAGACCGTGTACAACAACAACTCGAGTCGTTTCGGCAAGTTCATCACGCTCAACTTCAACAACAACGGTGTCATTGAATCCGGAAACATCATTGACTGTATCCTCTTGAACACACACATCACGAACAAGTTAAACGATTTTTGTTTGCTTGAATTATTATTAGAGGGTACATACTGACATAGCCTGGTCGTTGAGATGGTGAAACAATGGCAAACAGCCAGAGGGATATTCGTTAGTTTGAGGGAAAGTTGAAAAGGGCAAAGGGCTGAAGAAACAATTGACTGTCCAGGCGCGTAGCACTGCCGTTGGAGGTGGTCTGGCCGGAGGGGGGGGGGTCGGGGTCTCCCCCAAGAAAAAATTGAAATTGGGGTGCAACATCCTGCATTCTGGGCACTTTGGGCATTGAGTAAAAAAAAAAGCGGTCCGGCCAAAGTGCTACGCCCCTGCTGTCACCACCAGGACCTGTCCCAGTGACCTGAGTATGTGTGTATGTACAGTAAAACCTGTAACTAAAGACCACCGTGACTAGCGACCAGCCTGGTGTACTACAGAGGAACCTGTAACTAAAGACCACCGAGACTAGCAACCAGCCTGGTGTACTACAGACCACTTTGCCAGGCACGGCCCATCTCACAATCATATAATGGTTTTTCTGTGCAAACCTCCAACTAAGGACCACCTGTCAGTAAAGACCGGTTTCTCTGGCCCCAAGGGGTGGTCGTTAGTCAGAGGTGTTGCTGTACATGTATACATCCTTGTACGTGTACATGATATAATCTAACACTGGTTAAAAAACCAGTGTTAGATGAACCTTGTTATAGTGCACGCAATTTGTTAGATTGACAGCATGAAACAAGGTGGAGGACACTGTGTTCGGAAACAGTGACCTTACTACAACCTCCCGCGGTTGGCAGAGCCCCGGTCCCTGTGGACCATCTGAACCATATGGGTGTCGCACCCGGTTCTGACCCTCATTATGCTAGGACGGTAGGAGACTACTCCTGGCCGTACGACTTGCATTCTTCGCTCTTTTCTTTATGTCGTCCTGGTGGTCATGCGGCCCCTGAAACCTCAACTTGTAGGAAAAACTTCTTTTTCTTCCCACTTCTGCCCATGGCGTCCTTCTCTCAGCTCGTCAGCTGTCAACAGTTTTTTTGTCAACACCATGACACTGTCGCGAGAAGGTGCTCTCTGTAGACGGGGTTGGTGATGTCCCGACGTGGCCATGGGTAGGCCTTCACCACGTGACGTTGGTCATGTCAACTACTTATGTTTGTAAATCACTTCATTGTTTATCTTGCTGTGTAGTTTTTGTTTCTAAAACCTCGGCAAATTGCAAGTGTGTCTTTTTTTTACACGTTGGGTACACGTTGGATACATACAATCATGGGAAGAGCTAGATACTAACATGTATGTTCCAATATTTTGGCGCTGAACTGTTTACGAACCTGGAAACTACATTTCCAGCGATGTAATTTTTATTTATTATTTATGTGGATATTTGAAACTCGGGTATTGAGCCAATAATAAAAGTAGAAAGGAAAAGGACATATGGAAACGAGTTAAGAGTAACTCTCCACCACTGTAGCTAGATACTATATACAGTCAGAAACCTACTTTACTTATCTTTGATATTTATGACCCACCCAAGTTGGATGGTGTGCTGCTTTGCTGCTTCGAATTGTAGTTAGACCGCTTTGTCAAATCGCCTACTGGTTTCGTCATTGTCCAGTAACAATCGACATTCTTTGTTCCGTTGGGACTGTAGCTTGTGCTCGTTTTCGTTGCGCTTGCCTTCCCCTCTTTGGTATTTCCATAACCTTGAACCTTCCAAGTTGGAAGGCTGTCGGTTAGCGCTACGGAGATGTGTTGAAGCTAGGTGTCAGGACGTCGAATGTCTCAGTACTCTGTTAGTTTTGTGCCTAGTTGTTGCACTTTTCTGACTGTATATAGTATCTAGTTACAGTGGTGGAGAGTTACTCTTAACTCGTTTCCATAATTATGTCCTTTTCCTTTCTACTTTTATGTGTATATCGTAAGAATTTTAAAGGTAAGGAAGAAAGCTCGACTTACATCTTTTCTCTGTTGTCAAGTCATGGCGAATTGAGGAGACGCTGAGGTTGTCAGCTGCGGTAGCGATCTGGCGTCGTTAAATTTCCTAACCTTTCTTCTAGAAAAGCTACCTGGAAGGACTGTATCAAAGCATTCAGCGCAGCTACTAATATTTACAGAGAGCAGTGTCCGTACTCTGTAGTGAGGTGTTACTTGTCAAGCGATGGAAATAGTAACAATGTGTGGATGTGCTGTGGAAGTTGGTTATTGAAGTTGGAAGGACCAGTTTCGACCAATTGATCGCGTGGCCAGTGTCAAAGACGTGCTTGGCCACACCATTGTCCATTTTCTGCGCGCTGACATCACGTTGGTGCTCTTCCTGTCTCTTCTTCAACCTTCGTCCCGTTTCGCCAACGTACTCCGCTCCACAAGTGTGGCAGAAGAGGGAGTAAACGACGCCATGCACCTCCAATATTCACTTCCCTGTTGATATTTGAGACGCAGAAGAAGACCGTCTTGCTTCGCTAACGGTGCAGCTTCCAACAAATGGCACAGTTAGCCCGATGCTTGGTCGCCGTATCGGGATTGTGTGCTACGTGCAACTCTCCATACTCGTTGGCGTGGACAACGTGTGTAGTGATGGTAGACCACATGTCTGCAGATTGCTCAACTGCCGCGCGAGATTCTCCCGAAAATGGTACTGCGAGTAAAATGCCGGCCTAGTCAGCTGTCCGGGGTTTGCTGCCTGCCACGCAATCATCAGCTTGTAGGAATTGATTGTGGCTATTTCCGGCATGTCTTAGAAGAGTACCTTGCTGAACTTTCTGTACCCTCTCAATAGCCTGTAGCTGGGCGCTAGCTGGTCGAATACGTCCACGCCGCCCATGTTGCAGTTGTAGCACTCGATGGCGGCGGGCTTCTTGTACATTATGTTCTGCAGCACACCACCATGTGCCGTCTTTGCAGCACATAACGTGTATGATTTGAATCCCCGTTTTACCGGTTAATTTTCACCTAAACCTCCATCATCCGGCGTCGCTTGAACCGATCACACGTTAGTCGAGTATCACTTGTTGGCCCGGCTGTCTTGCTCGCTTACGTCAAGCCACGATCCATCAGCGTCAGCATTGGATGGCGCAGAGAGAATGTTCTCCCAGGCGTACTCATTCGTAAATCCAACAATAGCCTGGATCACTTCTGCTTTAAAAAAAAAGATGCAAAACAACTCCTTTCGTTTTCTGGTTGAAAGTTTAGTGGAAGGTGCAATCCTTCAGGACGATAAGGCTGAAACTGTTGTCCCAGACTGTCCACATCAGGGTTCTACCATTCTGACATGTTGACATGGGCCTCCACTGTATGTCCGCCTCGTCATAGTCCCGGTCCAGCTGCAGCGTGAGCAGGACGAGCAGGATGGGCAGGACGAGTACCCCGGGGATGGGCAGGACGAGTACCCCGGGGATGGGCAGGACGAGTACCCCGGGGATGAGCAGGACCTGTACCCCGGGGATGGGCGGGACGAGTACCCCGGGGATGGGCGGGACGAGTACCCCGGGGATGGGCAGGACGAGTACCCCGGGGATGGGCAGGACGAGTACCCCATGGACGAGCAGGACCTGTACCCCCCCCCCCCCTGACGGTCACATGGCTGAATAAGTGATCGCGCTCTGGTCGTCACGCCCCCGACGAAGGCAGCTGACAAACTGACCGACCAAGTTCTCGCCTGAGCGTAACGTCCAGCTTGTTAACCCTTTAAGAGCCACAGGAAATTTTCAAAAATCTGCATTTTTTCGTGTTCCTCGGATCATAGCTTCAGTTCTACTCACTCAATCCTCACAATCTAGGGCTTCCTGGAACGGTCTCCGCGAGAGGAAGAGAATGAGGTCGATCATGATAGCCAGCACACCGTCTATCCAGCGCTAGATCGCAGCGACAGTACAAAAAATGCCCCAAATGCGTCCAATTGCGTCCCGCTCCAGATATTTCATTCTACTCGATCGTGGAGTTCCAATTTTTTTGCTGTGTACTCTTGACAATATCAACAGTGAAACCCGTGCAAATTCAAGTAAACCAGCGTGACGAAAAGTCTCAAAAATCTCAATACTAAAGTTGCACTGCGCGCTTTTGAAATTGCCGCGATCGCGGCTCAACTTACGAGTGATTTATCTCGGGAACCGTTGTTCGCAGCGCTTCGCGGATTGTTTCTCCCGACAGGTGAGAGTTTTCTCTTCGCCCTGGATATTTCGATCGATGGATTTGAGCGAGATTGGACTGAGTTACGATCTTTTGAAGTTTTGCATTTGAATGCGTCGTTTACGACGCATTCAAGTATGGTGCGGCTCTTAAAGGGTTAAAAAGTAATTACATAGCAGGGCTGCTACTTGCTCCGATTTTTGATCGCCTGTCGGACAAACCGACCGATTTTGTTCCCAAAGAGGGACAACCGATTATTCTATTTAGAGCGCTTTTTAGTCCAGTTAGCCAGTCGGCGCTTCCAGGTCGCGTTTGGCCAGTCATTGTACATGTACATGTACATGTAGCTGTAAAATGCACGTGTGCTTGCATGTGTGTGGACAGTTAAAAATGTGTTCTGGGGCCCCAACAGCAAGCCATTTTCCTAAACAATTTCACGGGGTACGCCCCCGGGCCCCCCTCCGATTTTTCTCCCTCCAAGTATGGTAGCCCTGACATACGCTAAATAATTGAGACATAAAACATAATATTCAGTTTGTATCTCTTGTTACACGTCCCTGACCTCGATGTTCCAACCGCCGCATCTCAGATCTACTAGAGAAGAACCGAGTTGTGCGGCAGAACCCGGCCGAGCGCAACTTTCACATCTTCTACTGCATGCTGGTCGGTGCGGCACCGGAGCTGAGCGAGAAGCTGCAGCTGTGGGGAGCCAAGAAGTACCACTACCTGAATCAGAGCGGCTGCGTGAGCGACCCCACCATCAACGACGCGCAGCACTTCAAGGACATCGAGGTGGGTCTAGTCAGAATTGTTTTACTCCCATGACGGCCATTGGCAAATAGGATGTACTCAGTATAGGCGATTATTCCCGTAGCTATGCAGAAGACGTTACTTCAGTAACGTCTGGCGCTAGCCAGGGTCCACACAGCTTTAATTTGGTATTTGTTTGTGTGTTTGTTTGTTTGTTTGTGTCACGCCTGGCGCTATCCGTATCTGACGGCAAAAAAGCATAGGATGTTATAAATTTTTCAATTGTCCTTTTTCAGGCATATCCTGGGATTCGAACCCGCACTATCGCCCTACATGCATTCCCCATACACTTCGCATTCATACCCATTCTTCCAAGTTGCTTTACGTTATTATCTTGCGTTTGAAAGCCCTATTTGAATATTGCGGGCAGCTGTATGTGGCCAGCTGTGTTTGATGGTACGGTACGGTACGGGAGACGGTGTCGTATTACCCTCGATCGTACCTGTCCCGTACCTATCCCCTACCGTACCGTGCCATCAAAGACGGCTGGCCACAATGCATATTCAAATAGGGCTTTCAAATGCAAGATCACAATGTGAAACAACTTGGAAGAATTAGTATGTACATGTATGCGAAGTGTATCGGGGGATGCATGCAGGGCGCGCGACGGTGCGGGTTCGAATCCCAGGTTATGTCTTAAAAAAAAGGAATTTTTTAAAGAATTTATAAAATCCCTATGCTTTTTTTTTGTCTAGGTCATCAAGGCAAAAAAGCATAGCGTAGGGCCCTGAGCTTCCAAGCTCTCTCGTTCCTATACGCGGTAACTTTGTATACTTCGTTATGGCAAATGAAAGTAAATTTGGGAAATTGATCACTATAGCCAGTATATTACGATAGCCGGTATAATTATTGCTATTGCTATGTATGTATGTATGTATGTATGTATGTATGTATGTATGTATGTATGTATGTATGTATGTATGTATGTATGTATGTATGTATGGATAGCCCATAACCGTTCTGGTCGTAGGGGCACCATGCGTGTTGTAAGGCAGCAGCATAAAAAAGAACAGAAAAAAGAAGAAAAAGAAAGAAAGGAGGACAACATCTCACGAGACTAACTGTCCACCAACGTAACCAGATCTTATACAGTCAGCGAGTGCAACAAAATGGCACAAAACTGAGTTAAAAAGAAAGAAAAGAAAAAAATAACTACACTTATAAACAAGCTGCCTATTCCTATCACGATCAGCAGCAACGAGAGAGAGAGAGAGAGAGAGAGAGAGAGAGAGAGAGAGAGAGAGAGAGAGAGAGAGAGAGAGAGAGAGAGAGAGAGAGAGAGAGAGAGAGAGAGAGAGAGAGAGAGAGAGAGAGAGAGAGAGAGAGAGAGAGAGAGAGAGAGAGAGAGAGAGAGAGAGAGAGAGAATTGTAAGATTCAGTGTTCCAGTCTTATAACTTAGCAGGTATATAGCCGGTATATTCCTATGGCCGCCAAACCTTTAGGCGATATGCACTGTACTCGTAAAATACTGATTGAGGTAGTAGCTTTGGAAGGCTCTATTGCGCAGGGAGGGGTCTAATCTTCTCGCAAAAAAGGGGTGGGGGAAAGGGGGAGGGGGGGGGGGGTGGGGGTGGGAAGGGGGAGAACGATGGGGAAAAGAAGAGCGTGAAAAGGATGGCGGGAAGCATCCACCGTTTGAATGTGTGTGCATCTAAAGTGAGGCTATTTCCAGGCTCTGCACCAGTTCTCGTCCACCACGGCCCCCTGCATCAGTTCTCATCCACCACGGCCCCCTGCACCAGTTCTCGTCCACCACGGCCCCCTGCAACCCCCCCCCCCCCTTCCATCACACACAATGTGCCGATTATCCTAATGTCAACTATCCGAATGATCAATTATCCGAAATGCTTGCTTGCATTGGATTGAGGGGTAGAAAATGAGTTTCAAGTTGTTGATTTTCCTCGCTCGGGGCACCATTCAAGCGACTCTGCACAAGATGTATAACAACAGGTTTGAGTCAAAATGTGTAACAATGATGTCATTAATTTAGAGGAGCTTGAGTGCGTTGGTTGTCATCAACGTATCGCTTGATGTACTCCTTGGAATGTAGCTCTAGGATTTGATTCTGCGGATCATTGGGGCTGTTGCCCAATGTCCTGGAGCGGAGGAGCGTAACATTGCCACATCGCATGCATACCGGCACGTCAACACCACGAGAAAGTAGGAACGAATCCCGTCCGCTATCCTTTCCAGTATCCGGTTGCCGTAGCTGATGAAGGTCGGCGTGCGTGCCTCCTTGCTGCGAGGGCACTGACGGCACTCATAACATTCGCCTGAACAAACGAAACAGAGGATACAAACACACCTGGAAATTTCTTAGAGAAGATACGGTACAGCACTTATCAGCAAGATAGTAATAGTTGCTCATGGCAAGTACGAGCCGTAGAGGCTTGCCCTATAGCCCATTGTTTGGCAGATGTCGCCGGCAGAGGGGACAGGCAATGTCCAGGTTAAACTGACGCTTCGGTGCCCAAACCAGCAAGCGACGACCGAAGTATTGTTCGAGTTTTGGACTCCGGCCATCTATCTTAGGTGCGGGCGGCTCGTACCATAATTCAAGGTTCTGGTCCCATTTCTTCATGTAATGCAGCATTGATCCAAGACAGGTCAAATCGTCGACTGGTTTGTTCCCAAGCCTTTGGAAGGTGGTGTTTGGGAGGAGAAACAGTAGAAGGAGCACTTCGCTGCTGCTTGGCACTTTCTGGATTCTTAGCGCCAGCGGGGATATTGACCGCCTGGGACAACGCAAGCAAAGAAATCAGACAACGCCCCAGTCAGGATTGGAGACACTGATATAATAGGAGACGAGACGCCAGTGGACCTAAAGGCTTAACCGGCAAAGGTGTGAATGGAAGCACAGCAGGGTTGCTTGGGTCATCCTCGGCAGAAACTGCTGACGACAGTGATTGAGTTGGTGATTGTTTCTGCACAAGACACAGCAGCAGCAGCAGCAGCAGCAGCAGCAGCAGCAGCAGCAGCAGCAGCAGCAGCAGCAGCAGCAGCAGCAGCAGCAGCAGTCACTCGACCAAAAGTATATCAGAAAATAAACAAAATAAGTAGTAGCAAAGGTAGCAGCCTTGCTACCATACACGGCACGCTTGGTCAACGATACTGCCATGGAACGTGTTGGTATTGGCTCCTACTTACACACAAGTATAACGAGAATGCATAATCAAATCCACCATTGACACTGCCAGCCACAAGAGCAGCAGCAGCATTCTGTGGACCCAAGGTTCATCCGAGTATGTGCTCGTAGATTCGTCTCCTTTACTGGGCCCGACCTTGGAAGAAGACTGTGTTGGTGTTGGCGTGGGGCTTCTACGTTCACATAAATATACAGGGAATAACACAATACATTTCAAATCTGATGCCAAGCAATGTAATCCAACAGCAGCAGCAACACCACCAAGACCTAACAGTCTCTTTACCACCAAGTACCAGGAATAAAATTCAAACAAACAAACAAAAGTCGCGTCGCCTGCGCTTGGCATGTTTCTAGTGGCAGCAGCATGCGCATATGCAGTGAACACAGTTACAGCATAATGTGCGCGAGTGAGAGTATTTGTTTCAAATAAACTGCTACTTGTCGCAGGTGATGCGACTTTTGTTTGTCACCACTTGGCCTTGTTACTACGTGTAATTACGACTTTTCAGGCAGTGTGACGTCGGCACTTTGACGGCATGTTGCTTGGCAACATCTTTGTAAAATACAGTGCCTCCAGGTGTTGGACAAATCAGTATTTTGTAGCCTAGGTACACCTGTGTATGCATAATGCACTGTGCTATCTGTACATGCACTGTGTCACCTGTACATGGACTGTGTCACCTGTACATGCATTGTGCTATCTGTACATGCATTGTGCTATCTGTACAATGTCATGCACTGTGTCATCTGTACATGCACTGTGTCATCTGTACATGCACTGTGTTACCTATACAAGCACTGTGTTACATGTATAATGAATGCACTTTGCTACCTGTACATGCACTGTGTCACCTGTACAATGTCATGCACTGTGTTATCTGTACATGCACTGTGTTATCTGTACATGCACTGTGTTATCTGTACATGCACTGTGTCATGCACTGTGTTATCTGTACATGCACTGTGTTATCTGTACATGCACTGTGTTATCTGTACATGCACTGTGTTATCTGGACATGCACTGTGTTATCTGGACATGCACTGTGTTATCTGTACATGCACTGTGTTATCTGTACATGCACTGTGTTATCTGTACATGCACTGTGTTATCTGGACATGCACTGTGCTATCTGGACATGCACTGTGTTATCTGGACATGCACTGTGTTATCTGGACATGCACTGTGTTACCTGTGCATACGCTGTGTGTGCGGTGGTGTGGCCCACTTGTATGTGCGCGCCATGTGTAGCTTGCCTTCGAAACAATGATGTTCTCACCGGAGAACATCTTTGATGTCTACAGTCTTCTAGCTACCATTCTTCATTTAGGTAAGCTTTGCTTTTATCCCAGTCTGATCAACACAGTAATCAGTATAGAAGCTGTGTGAATGAGGTCATCACTGTGTTTTGTGTGTAGTGCATGATGTCATCGCATGTGCTTGCATAAAGTGCATGACCGCATTGCATCTGCTTTGTATGGATTGCATGACGTCATCGCATGCACTTTTGTATGGAGTGACTATTGTTGTTGGCTCGTCACATATGCTTTGTACGAAGTGCACGACGTCATTGCATAACAGTTATGATTTGAGCGGAGTTGATGACGCCATCGCTATCGTATGACTACATCACACATGCTTTGTATGGGGTGCATGACATCATCCGATAGGCTTTGTATGGGGTGCATGACATCATCCGATAGGCTTTGTATGGGGTGCATGGCATCATCCGATAGGTTTTGTATGGGGTGCATGACATCATCCGATAGGTTTTGTATGGGGTGCATGAAATGGAGACCAGTGCCAGTTTTTACTGAGTGGCGAACACCGCCAGTTTGTATATACAGTGAGACCTGTGTAAGACGACTGTTCAAGGGACCTTCAAAATGTGGTCTCCGTTGCCAGGTGGTCTCCTTAGCCAGGGTCATTTGACTGGAAATAGCATCCCTTGGTCCTGGTTGCAGTGGTCTTCTAGGACAGGTGGTCGCCTTGACAGGTTTTGCTGCTAGTATTGGGATTTGAATGGCATACAGTCAGACCTCGCTTATCCGGTCCTCGTTTATCCGGATCCCTCGCCATCCGGATGAAAATCGTTGGTTACCGATGTACAGCATATGTCATGCACATATACAGTATGTGTGTTCGATTATCCGGTTCCCTTGCCTATCCGGATATTTTTCTGGAAAACGGATGTGTGCGGTTATGCGAGGTCTGGCTGTACAATGTTTATTTTGTGAAGTGACAATCCTTGCAAACAGACCGGACTTCGATATTCTGTCTATTTGTGGTTTTGTCGCAGGTAACGTAACATTCCTCACAGCCGGCGGTGCCACGATCAACGAGAAGTCCATCGTGGACTTTGTGGCGTCGCTGCTGGACGTGGACATGTATGCAATGGGTGATGTGCTCACTACGCGCTCCATCACGCTGCGTGGCGAAGAGATCAACACACCGCTCACGTGTGACCAGGTGAGCGGATCCAGCAGTTAACTCTTGCAAGGAGCCACGTGCGTGTGTGTCCATTAAGCTCGTACACGCACATACACGCACGTACGCACGCACACACACACCAGAGTGTGCAGTAGGGACAACAATGCATGAATGCTAAATTTCTCAATGTGCTTTTGCTGCATATGTCCTCATGCACTCATTACAACAGAAGTTGTAGATGAGGTCTAGCTTGTAGATGCTTTGAGCCAACCTGTCTTACCTACCATGATGAAATTGTTTGCGGTTGTTTTGCTTTGCTTATGCGTCCAGGCTGAAGATTCACGTGACTCTCTGGCAATGGCCCTGTACGCCGCTGTGTTCCGCTGGATCCTGAAAAAGATCAACGTCTGCATCAACGGCCCGGAGACGTACCGGTCGATTAGTGTACTCGATATTTTCGGTTTCGAGAACTTTCAGGTGAGTGTGGTAGCGGGTACACGTTCTATGGGTAGTTTCCAGTAGGGTGCACATGTTAGGGGCAAGGTTTCGAGAAACAAGGGATGGCAATTTACTTCATACCGGGCGAAGGTAAATTTTTCCAGTGCCTGCTCACACACATACATGTAGACTCGACACTTGTGGCAATGTTCTTCAGTCTTTTCTCTCGTTTCCCCGCGGAGTGTAAATTTGGAACTTTCTTTTCCTTTCTTGTCTCGTGATTATTCCGACTCTGTAGGTGAATCGTTTCGAGCAGTTCAACATCAACTTTGCCAACGAGAAGCTGCAGAACTACTTCAACAAGCACATCTTTGCCCTGGAGCAGCACGAGTATAACAGGTCAGTGCGCGCAGTTTGAAGCTTGCAGTGCATGCTAGTGCTTTTCGCTCAGAGGGGACTTTCTGTCTGCATGCTGCAGTTTTGCACTGGAGAAGCCGGCAAGGAGTCAATGTCTGCTTCCTGGCCTCATGGTTACATGTGTCTCGATGCAATGTTAGAATGCCTGCATCCTGTTCAATGCTCACTACATCCCCCCCCCCCCTCCCAAACCATAGCGATGCATTCGTTTGAAGAGGTTGAAACTACCTTCCAGCTTTTCCAGCTGTGTTTTTGAGGTGCAGTCGGTGATTTGTGTGATGTTTAGTGTCCTTGTTTCCTAATGTTTGTCATGCTGCTGCTTTCTGTGTTATTCCGTGCACACAGAGAAGGCATCTCTTGGGCGGAAATTGAGTGGGTGGACAACGGAGAATGCATTGACCTCATTGAGAAGGTATGGGTAGTTCAATGTCATGATGTGCTCTGTACTTTCTAGTATGCCTGTATGGTTTATATGATACGTTGACATGCTGTTGTGCTGGGGAGAGGGGGGGGGGGGGGGTGTAGTGCTATGTACCCCCTTCCTGGGACAACTGCCACGTGTGACCCAGATATGACCTCCCCCTGGGGTGGTTTGCCCCCATTATGGATGATGGACATCGAATATGACCCTTGTCCAACTTCACGTATTATTCCAGCATGAGTGGCGTGTTTCCCGTGTTGTTATGACCTCATCATACTAGATTTGTTTTCTGTGTCTTTTCGTTCTCTAGAAACTTGGTGTGCTTGCACTTCTGGATGAGGAGAGTCGCTTCCCGAAAGGCACGGATGAGTCGTTCCTCCAGAAAGTTCACAACGCGCATGGGGTAAGCCAGGGAGCATGTGTGCTGTGCGAGCGTGTGTCGCAACCTCTGTCGCCTCCTGTAGTGGGGTAGTCAATTCCAGGCCTCGGCCTTCTTTCTTTTCGTCCTTTGAAAGGGGTGCATGTATTTCCAAATTGTCAATGCCTAATCCACTGTCCAATTTAACTTCTGTTTTCACCCGTATTCAACTTTCGTCACCCTCGATCCTAGGAGTGAAGAAAACATTTGGATTGGACTCCCCGCATCATCTCGATGGGCATTCTGTTCACTGCTGGTATTGGGTGCTCCAGCATTTCAACCAAGAACATCAACCTATTGGACATAGTCTGTACCTATTCGGTACATATGCGTAGCAAGGATTGACTGTATGCTGTGAACTGGATAGGGGAGGGGGCTTTGGATGATGTGATCAAGTAATTTGTCGACTGGAGCGAGAGAGAGAGAGAGAATGCGTTTCGTCAGTGCGATAGCTAAAGGGCTGTCTTGTGGTGTCGTCTTTGTGTGGTGCTGCTGTGCAGAAAAACCACTTCTACATCAAACCGCAGGTGAAGAACACCAAGTTTGGAATCAACCACTATGCTGGCGATGTAAGTCATGCATTGTGTGGTAATGCTTCTGATGCTGCTGCTGCTGCTGCTGCTGCCGCCCATTGATACTGTACCTTCCTGAAATTCTGTTCTCCCCTTGAAAGACATGATGGTCCATTACGCACATATTGCGTAGTTGCTGCTGATACATGACGCTGGATAATAGACCCATTGCGCATTGCCAGTATGGAATGCATGACTAATGCTTGTGAGTACGCTGGGATCAGCAATGCACTGTTCAACACCTCAGACGACCATGCCCAGGTGGCTGTGAAGGGTGTTTGTGGTACAAATTATGTCATTGCGCAATGGGACCATATACACTGTCACAATCCGCTGACAATACTGCTGGGGCAGCATCAGAAGTGCACGCAGAAATACATGCCCACGCCTGAGGAGGTGGCATTTTTCTGTATTGCAGGTTGTGATCCGGCCACGAACTAAGGAAGTCTATGCTGTGTTGTGTTGTTTTTGCTTTCTTCTATTCTGTTGGCAGGTCATGTACGACACGCGGGGTATTCTTGAAAAGAACAGGTTAGTTGAACTTGAGCGTTATGACACTCGATTTTGTCCTGGTTTTCTTTTTGTTCTTCTTGCTGCTTCTTTCTGTCTTGTTTGGGCACTACGAGTACCCAGTTTCGATACAATGTTTGAACTGTTTAACAATGTTTCTTTCTTTTTCACTTCGGTTCATTGAGAAATCATCAATGCAGGTGATACTAGTAGTTAAATTTCCTCATGAAGTTGTTTTGTGTATCTGCTCCCCACCCTATCAGGGACACCTTCCGAGAGGACGTTCTTATGCTTCTCAAGGACAGCAAGTAGGTTCTTCGTTGCTTTCTATATTATTATGTCCCTGGACATGTCGAAGCATTTTCAACTCCCTAAACTGACGAGTATTAGTGAACAATGTTGCCCTATTTTTGATTCTGAGCCAGTGGCAGTAGAGATGAAAACTCTCCAGCCAGCCAAGCAATGTCAATGGCAATTTCCACCAGACGTCTATTTCTGTCAGTGAACACGTGGACACGTGGTTGTGATCGGGCTGGTGGTATCCATGTGAGCAGGACACGCGGCCAAACGCCAGTCGCTCCCTGATCCGGGCCGAACCTACATGGTTTGAACACCTACACACTTGCACACCTGCCCATCGCTGAAACGACGATAGCGAACAAGCTATGTCAGACACAGTAACTTGTGTTCGGGGTACACCATTCAACAGCTTGCAACGCTTATGAACTTGACCGCCACAAATTCTGACCTTGTCTACACTGGACCTACAATGTCTTGTTGCTGCTTGGCGTTGTGTCTAATTGCTGCGTGTCTGCAGGAAAGATTTCATCTATGACTTGTTTGAGCACATGACACCAGCCAGCGAGCAGCGAGGCAAGGCCTCCAAGAAGACCAAGACCGTCAGCGGCCAGTTCAAGGTCAGTCGGTGGACCGATCACACAGACCTGCATGTATACGCACGCAGTTCACCCTTGACCCTCCTTCGCTTTCTTGTTATTGGGCAACCTGCCCGTTAGAATCTGCGAAGTAAAATAAACAATAACCCTAGTTGACCCTTCTTGTCGGCAACAGCGGCACTGCAAAATCCGTGTGTTTCGAATACGGTCTCCTTCCAATATTATCTAACTAGAATGTCCGCTTTGTTCCAAAGGTTTGAGACGACGATAGGTCAATCAGGTTCAGCCCCATTTTCTCTGTGCTGCGCTGATGAGTCCACAAAGACGAAACAGTTCTGTCCGCAGATTGAGTATTAATATGACATATCCTGCTGATAATTATGGTTTTGAAACTAAACATTGTGTCTCCAGCTGTCGGTTGGTCTGTCAACTAGCGGTCAACACACGCATAGCATCACATGCTCTATCTAGCCGAGTCTTCAATAGAGAGAGCTGCGTGTGAAGCCTTCTAACCTATATGCTGTCGGGCAATTTGTGTATTCGAAGGATCAGACGTCTTGGTCTGGGTTTCGAGACTCTAATTGAAGGCGTTTCACGTTAGGGATTGCACCCGTAAGAAGACCTTAGGGTCTGTTGGGAATGCCCAAGTAAAATAATAAAATACAATACAAAAATATACAAATTGCAATAGCTTAGGTCAAGAAACGGCTCGAAAGGTGCATAGGCTGATTTGGACGGCACGATAGATCAGTAAATGGGTGCTTGATGTGAATGCTCTGTGCATGGTTATGCTCCAGGAATCCCTCCTGTCTCTGATGACACGTCTTGGCCAGTCGAATCCTTACTTTGTACGCTGCATCAAGCCCAATGTCAAGAAGGTGAGTTTCCTTTTTGAAACAGAAGACGCGCTGCGTGTCTGGGTGCATGGTATTGGTAAAAAATGGAACTTGCCCAGTGCATACTCTGATCAGATGCACATCAGAAGAAGAAATCACCTAGCTTAGTGCGTACTCTGATGTAAAAAGGACACATACGGTGGATAAACGGACGTTTGTGGAGTATGGCCATGGCCCAAGGCGTGGGTCTATTCCTCCGGACGGATGCATTCCCTGCTAAGAAACTCATGTTCCCCACAGGAGACTGTTCTATCAGAGTTGTACTGAAGATGTATCGAGATGTGTGCACTACACAGTTGGAACCGGTTGAAACCAGCGCTTGGATAGTAACTCGTATTCTCGGCTCTAGGTCCGAACATTCCTGTATTTCCCAACTATTGTGTGTGTGTGTGTGTGTGTGTGTGTGTGTGTGTGTATTCTGGCTGTTGTTGCTTTGGTGCGCACACAGCTTGCTGGTGAGTTCAGTCCTGAGACGGTGCTGAATCAGCTGCGGTACTCGGGCATGATGGAGACTGTCAAGATTAGACGGGCTGGCTATCCGGTGCGACGGCCGTTCGCCGACTTCATCTACAGGTAAGACTTTGAAGTGTGTAATCTCTGCATTGATTCTGTTTTGCCCTCCTCTCCCCTTGCCTGTGTTGGTAACTGTAATGGTGTTGATGCCTCTGTTGACAACGATATTGTTGTTCTATTTGTTTACTGAACCCTGGCAATGAACAGTAAATTCGAATTCAACTCGGTTGAGGTGTTAGCTTGCTCGTTTTAATTGTATTTCATTTTCGTCACGCGTTTTATAACTGTCGTCGCTTCAGCTTATGTGAAAGGTATACATGCTGTGTATATCTACATTGCATTGATGCCAAAGGAGAAGTTTCTAATAATAATAACAACAATTTGTGTACTGTGTGTGCACAGGTATCGCGTGTTGGCACGTGGTCTTCCAGCCGGTGTGGAGGCCAAGTCTGGCTGTGTGAAGGTTATGGAGACCTATGACAGTCAGCGGAAAGACTGGCAGATGGGACAAACAAAGGTCAGGACAGCGTAGAAGGGCTAAGAGTGAATACTATAATTATACTGTAAAAGCCATTATATATATAACGAAGTGCTAACTCTAACGAGTTAACGAGGAGAAATCTGTCGTTAAAATAGAAATTGTATACAGAAATTGACACATATACTGTCCTATTGAGCGTTGAGAATGAGTGAGAATCGTTCTGTTTGGTACACGTAAACTAGTCAATTTTGGGAAATCGTTATATATGCGCCTCGTTAGAATAATGGCTTTTACAGTAAGAAGAAATAATCGTCTGGAATTTTAATTTCGTCTTTTTCGTCCAAGGAGCTTTTGGACTAAATTAATTGACGGACTAATGTCGGTTTGTCCAGCTTTTCAATACACTCCTATGATCCATGAACGAAATATACAACAGGACGAACTCCCTATCTTTGGGGTTGGGCGAAATTATTAACCGACGAAATTTTCTGCTTGTACAGAATGTCATTGTAGTGAAGCGGTCCGTAGCGTGTCCGATGTCGTTCACATGCATCAAAGGAGGCGAAACCACTTGTTTGTGGTGCGACGTTATATAAACTGAAACAACAACAACAACAACGATGTCCCTGACTTTCTCCACCTTCTATCAGCCTGCTGGAGTCTCGACAAAGATGGCTTATCTAGATGTAGTACTTTCTGCACAGTGAAGGGAAATTACTAACCGTGAACGTGTTCTTTGTGTGTGAATGGTGGTGCATCATTCTGCAGGTATTCATGCGTGAAACAGTGGAGGTTATCCTGGAGAAGGCCCGCGTCAAGGAGCTAGGCGTTGTGGCGCGGAAAATCCAGTCGCGAGTTCTCGGATGGCTGCAAAGGTAATATTAAATTAATAGGCGTATGAAGGTAGTTGTGCTTGGAAGGCTCGGAATGTCGCTAGACCTGGTTAACCCCTTTAGCGCGAGCGTCGTACTAGTACGACGCACATGAGTTGCATGCCCCGCGGCCGTCGTACTAGTACGACGCGCGCTGTACACTGTACAGTGAACCTGCATCTCATAGTCGTGGGGTCCGTGTTGAGTCCATAGTGACTTGTTCAAACTATCGTAACTCACTCAATACGATTCTCACAATCGAAACATGTATCTGCAAGAGAAAACTCTCAGCTGGCGATAGAAACAATCGCCGAAGCGATGCGACTACCGGTTGTTGAGATATGCGACTCGACACGGCAAATTTCAACTCGATTTTTTGCGCAGTCTGCAGAACGCGTATTTTCCATCATGGATCATTTGTGCGCTACCTGCTGCCATGGAAACAAGATTCAAATGATGGTAGTGGATCCCGTGAGTCCTCACAAAAAATTTGAGCTCGATACCAGCAAGGAGACCGAAATGGCAGCTGAATATTTGAGCTTGGTTAGTCTTGGCCGTGCTCAAGTCTGTCGAGCGCGTGGATGAAGTTTGCCAGACTGTAGCACGGGGTTTTGGTTTCGCTCCGAGCTAGGTTTGACACCAGTTTGTCACACGTCTCAAGACCTTTCCAGGAAGCTCAAGATCGTGGAATTCGTCCAAGGGAAGGTAAAGTTATCGATCCTTGAGCAGCTAGTACTTTCATGGGAAAATGCGACTTTTACAGGTGTTGTTGTGGGGCGCGCTCAGGTAGCGTCGTGCTAAAGAGGTTAATGAACATGCTCATACATGAAGAGGCTTTGCCAGTGATACAGTTTAGAGCTCCTGGTAGGGTGATCCTACCTGGCTCAGCAGAGTCTGCTGTAACATCTTCCCGAATACAGATGACCTTTGTAGTGTGAACAAATAATTTTCCGAAGTGCAACTCTGGTAAATGGAGAATATTATTATTATAAAGAGCTGCAGCTACTGCCTAGGCCAGTCAGGTTAGTGTTATTGCTATGGATGTCAACATCTCTGTATAACAACCTCTACGCAAGCTGTGAAATGATTATTGTCAGCTCCGTATAAATTCTGACTGTGTGACTGTATCTCCTGCTTCCTGCAGACGCCGCTTCCTGAGAATAAAGGCCAAGGTCGTAGTGCTGCAGAAGTTCTTCAAGGTGAGCCTTCCCTAGACCAGGCGCTGTCTTCCTAGGGCTGTCATAGCTTGGTAGCGACCCAGGGCATACACAGTGTGTGGTCTTAAATAATATACACTGGAAGTAGGTGCTTTACATGCTATTCATTTTTTTAATAATTTTTTTGATCTTTGAATTACACCTCTTGGCTTGTGGGAATAGCAGCCTTTGGAAGCGTTTAAAACTAGTTCTTGACCCACGGTAAACTGTTGCTCAAATTCAATCTAGCGTGTACAAGCAGGTTACAAAAATATCGTAAATCGAGTCGTTCCCTAGACCGGTCTCGTTGTTCATCTTACGAAACACGTGTGCATCATATAAATTGCTATCTTCAAAAGTCTGGATGGACGATAGTGATAGTGTAGTCCAGTTGTGTCACTACCTAGGCAGCAAGCAGCTGCAGTGGTAAAATTACTTTTGTGTCAATGAAAAAATTGAAGGTGTATCCACTCTTTTTTCTTCGGATTCTTGTGGTTGTGGACCTGTCTTAGGCCATCGTATATCGCCGGCGATTCCTTCGCCTTCGCAAGGCAGCCATCGTTATGCAGAAGGTGAGATAAGTCACATGTATGTCGTGTATTTTTACGTGCGTGTGTGCGTGCGTGCGTGGGTGGGTGGGGTGCGTGCTTGCGTGCGTGCGTGCATGCGTAGCATCTGTGAAAAGAACCAGAAGCCGTTCAGCCACTGGGTGCCAGTTTGCATATTTCCTTTGAGTCAGCTGGTGGTGAGCTGATCTACTCACCTCCCACCGCTTTAGGAGCTGCATCTGCGCCTTGATCCTTGAAGGGTGGTGGCGTTCCTACGGATGAGGAAAACTCGACCTCTATATAGATAAACCGAGTCTCACGCGAACCGTGAAAAAAAATTGAGTCAGACTATGCACTGAACTATACTTGTACGTGTAGGTGCTATGGTCGCAAGTGTCTGAGCATGGTCTGAGCATGGTCTGAGCATGGTCTGAGCATGGTCTGAGTATGGTCTGTATCTCCGTTTGTGGCTCACAGTACGAGCGATCCCGCGTGGCTCGCAAGATCTTGGCTCAGCTGAAGGAGGAGAAGCGAATCGAGGAGGAAAGATTACGCGAAGAAGAGCATCGCAAGGAAGAGGAAAGGCAACGGTTAGTTCGGTTCGGGGTTTTTGGTATTCAAATCGAAGCAAATGGCCGATGCTTGTGGAAAAATGTGCTGCGCTTGCGTAGTTGTTCTTACTGCGATACGTTCAAACAATATTGAGATGCCTTTTGTTGGCTCTTCTGCCTGGATTTCATTGACAGATGCGTTAAGCCCATGGATCCTTCCATGAGTGACATGCGAACTGTAACTATTATTAATAAATCAAAGGGTAACTAGCAGCATTCGACCCTGTACAGATTTTGTTATCGACCCCGACCACACCACGACTGCGCTCTCCAGCTTACACGTCTGTATGCCTGTGTGTTTTCACCGCAGTGAATTGGAACGCCTGGAGCTGGAACTGGCCAAGGAGGCTGAGCTTGAGGCAGAGAAGGTCAAGCTGGAACGCGATCTTGCCGAGATGAAGGCCAGAGTGAGTTCCCCCCAGGACATACGAGAGAATCAGCAACTTTCAATGTTATCTACATTGCGTTGTAGCGTGAGAAGAGTCATACGACTCGACGAAACAGTTATTGTACCATTACAGCTGCTATGTGTGTTGGTGTTGTTCCTGTGTGATCGAAAATACTAACGCTTATAACACTAGACCATAGTCGACTCAACATGTGATTGAGTGTTTGAGTGCATGCCTGCATGTCTGGATTAGTCCAGATTAAACAGAGTAGGTCATTGGGAAAGATGATGTGGATAAGGGGAATTCCCTCATGGAGCAAGAACCCTGTGCTCTTAAAGTTGAACCCCTGTTGTGTGGCCCGACACAGCCGCGCAAGTACCATTACACAGCCGTGTGAGTAAAGTTTATTTCTACCCTGACTGTCATCGTGCAGGTGGCCGCAGAGCGAGAGATGAAGCAGGAGGAGGAGAGGCGACAGCGCGAGAACGAAGATCGCAAGCACAAGGAGGCATTGCAGCGTGCCCTGGAGCTCGACAAGATCTTCAAGGAAGCTGAAGAAGCGGCTCGCATTGTAAGTTGCTTTCAGTGAGAAAAGTCTATTTTCAATCTGACACTGTCCCGCATGATCTTACTACAGTTAAAACCTGGCAAGGCGACCACTCGGATAAGGCGACCACCTGTCCAAGAAGACCACTGAAACCAGGATCAAGGGATGCTATTTCCAGTCAAGTGACCCTGGATAAGGAGACCACCTGGTAGCAGAGACCACATTTTGAAGGTCCCTTGAGCGGTCGTCTTAGACAGGTTTCACTGTATAAAGAATTACTGTTTCCTGGGAGACAAGAATGAAGTGAAATGTCTCCTTTATCTGAGTATTTAGAACTGAGTCTATAGAGACTATAGAAACCGCCCTGCGACGTTTAACCCTCTCAGTGCCATAGGCGACTAAAGTCGCCCAAAATGAGTATGTGTGTACAAATAAATTCGTATCTCCACTTCTACACACAGGAGAGTTACAAACGACCACTCTGTGCACATGTCAGGCAGTTTCTTGGGATCGGGAGAGCTTGATTTGACTGAATTTGACTGACACTGCACAAGAGGTAAATAATTCTTGTTCTTGCTGTGAACTGAAAGAAGACGACTAATGCGCAAGGCGCTTGCGCAGAGAGAAAAGAGGCAGGAAAAACATGGAGGACGTAGCTAAGAGGTGAGTGAGTCAGTAGAAATAATAAGCTCGCGGCCCATGTGTGGGAACGCGGAAACAAAACCGGGGTAGAGAACACAAACTATGACGTGTACTGCAAATAATCTCATGACGTTGAGCATCATGTCAACGTCGTGACACACTCTACGTGTTCAGGAAGACCTTGGCTATCGACTCATCACATCGTTTTGTGTCCGTGAGGATAGATATCGCCAGGGCGAAGCGCGCGCGCTCGGACAAACAATTGTCGCCCGTAGAAAACATGACGTATGCGCATCGCGGGTTTCTCTATTTCTTTCGCGGCAACCCATGCGTATTGGGTATCGAAACATCGAGATTTTCAGTGGCTTTCAGGCCAACTTTGTCCGAATTCCGTGCGTTGAAAGTTGCCTGCACTGCGATCGATCGCGCACGTGAGAAAGTGCAGATGCTACGAAAATGCAGAAAACGGACTTCGCTCAGGCGCCCTCGTGAGGCAGACTATTTTCGCTGCATTTTCTCTTCACAGCTGTCTGCCTGGCCATGATATCTTTCCAGAGAGCCATCGTTTGTAAAGATCCGTGGATATACAGCTGAGCTATGAAAAATTTGAGTTCAGCTCAACTCTTGGCACTGAAAGGGTTAATATCAAAATCAAGTTATGACGTTTCAAAGTCACGTGACTCAAAGTTACGTGAAGCGCAGAGCTCGTCACTTTTGTTTTAACAAGAGCTGTCCTCATGTCCTCTTGTCTTGGTATGTTAATTAGATGTTTGGTGAAGACAATAGTTGGTGAAGACAATAGGATTCCGAGCGATTGTCGAGTAGCTCAAGAGGCTCCACTTACTGGAATTGATCATGGCTACAACATGTGGAAGACGACGCAGCTCGATTCTGTGTGGAGTTCCTGATGCAATAACGACGGCACTTCGGACAACGAGAATTTTTGCGGATTCAGCGCTGGCACCTGTGAGTCGTCCGTGAGCAATTCCGACACCGATGCTGACAGCGACGGCAACGATACGCCTCCTAAGAAGAAGACGTACGGAGTCGCAGTGAGTTCGAGCGCTGCTAGTGTTGTGTCTAAGACGCCAAGCCCTGACACCTCGGACATTTCAAACGCAGAGAGTGACACCGACTACTCGGAATCGGATGACGAACCAGATGCCCCCGCACCTGAGCCGCTGCCTCCTTTAGCAGGTGAAGCGAGGCCTCCTGTCTTCAGACATCCGCGATGGAAATGAGAGAGGCTGTGGATGCAAGTCGAAGAATCATTGGAAAGTCATCCCAGAGCAGCAGCTCCAGGGCTACATGTTTGAAGTCTATAAACTCTGAAAAACGAAAAAAACCGCTTCAAGCAGTTTGTTCTGGGTGCACTTGTCGTCAGCTAAAAAGGACGAGCTACACTTGTCTTGTGCGACTGTGCCACACACCAAAAGGTCAACTTGTTACTTTAGTTAGAATGAGAGTATTATTGAGTTCCTGCTCTGAGGAGACGACGAGACAACTGACTGGTTCAGCAGCATGTACAACAAAGAGCTACAAGCGCAGCCGCATGTGCAACACACTGACTGGAAGCATGCGCAAGTCGAGGATTAGTGGTAGTGGTGGTGATCGATCTTATTATCTCCCTTATCATGTACGTGATTAGGAGTTGTGCCAAGAAGTGTTCATGGCAGCTCATGCTGTTGGAAGTCCTGTAAGGGAGCGCCTTCTGACAGCCCCGGTGCGGTGCACATGAAGATGGAATGCCACGGTGAAGAGGAGTAAGAGATGGCACGCTAACGACTGTGCACTTGATACTGGAAGTGTGAGAGCAAGGGGTGTTTAAAAAATATTAACCCTTTAACCGTCAGACCATACATTTGTGGGTCGAATTCGACCCATCATTTGAAATACTCGCACTGGAATGATTTTTCACCCACGATAGAAAATTTACTATCGATTCGGTTGCGAATTTTCCAGGCTTTCTGTTGCAGAAATCCGCGTTGAGCTACGATGTAGTGGAGCAGAGTTATCAAGCGCTGAGTACTGCACGCTTGTCACTTCCGCTGCGCTGGGCGCGCGGCTGACGTCGTCACGGGATTTCCCCGTTTCTTCACGCGCTCTGTGACTGCTGCTCGCGACCAACGTATTCCTCACGAAATGTTCGATCTCTCAAAAAAAAATTGAACACTCTACGATGAAGGAGACGGCCATGGCGGAGTTTTGAACTTGTCATTTGCATGCCTGGCGTTGAGACGACGTCGCTGCGTTCCAGCGCTGGTTGTGTGACTGCTGAGGCAAAGAATGTGGTATCATCGTGCTGGTCTCGTCCAGAGCTTTCCAACGAGCCCAAGATTATAAAAATCGAGTGAGTACAACTAAAGTTATGACCTGGCAAAGTTGAAATTTCGTTCGGCGTTTCAATGGGTGAAATTTATATGACGGTTAAAGGGTTAAAATGTATTGAAATCAAAGGGAACGTCTGCAAAGAGGTGATAGTTACTGCCGGATACTGCAACGCAGCACGGATACAGTCATGCAAGTAGCCCCCTGGCATCTACCCCACGCGCTTACTCTCATCTTACTGTTGTGAACACTCGAGTCTGCTGAGAAGTCGAACGACCGCGGGACGCTGGCCTTGCAGCCATGAGGACTGGCCCTTTTTTTTACCGTGTGTATGTGAACTACAGTGCGTGTACGTAGGGTTAAGGCAGTATGGGCGCCGGCCCCAGTCATTTCAACGGATGTCAACCCTCCACAACACCACTTGTTTAGTATGGACTCGGATGGAGAGCCAAGGATAAATTTATTGAAAAGGAAAAGGATCAAGGAACTACAAGTTACGCTATGATGTCCACTAACACCACCAGTTACTAACATGTTAGTGCAGTGTTATCGCATGAGCTGATTGTTTAGTAGCTGGTGGTGTTAGTGGACATTATAGTGTAGCTTGTAGTTCCTTGATCCTTTTTTCCTTTTCTATACTTGTTTAGTGATCATGATTGTCAAGAACTCGCCCTTCTCTTGTATGTGAAACTATTGTACTCTTCTGAAGAAATGTGCTACCGTGGAGACCACCTGCATCGTAAGGTGTTTTCCCCGTCGTGATTCAGATTTGTACTTTTATTCCTGCAGGCTATGGAGGAGCGTCAGAAACGTGAGGAGGAAGAACGGTAAGGAGCGGGAAATCTCTTTTTCCCTCAACTTCTCGGGATTTATGGAGCCAGAGAATTTGAATTTCTCGCCATAGTGAACATGAAATGAAGTCCTGCTAAGAAACGTGAGGTTCCTTCGGCGGCCAAAGATAGGTTCGAAATGTGGGCATAATATGCTATACCAAGGTGGTGTGTATCTGGTTCATCATTTTGTTCTACACCCCTCCATCCTCTCCCCTGTAGTCTGCACTATCATGTAACCTTTCTTTTCTTTTTGTCTGATATTCTATGCGGTGATGGGTAGAGTGAAGCAGGCTGAACAACGCCGTCTCCAAGAGGAGGAGAATGCCAGAATTGAGGCTGAGGCTGAGGCAGCAGCCATCTATCAGATTGCAGAGCTGGACACCAAACTGCAGGTATGGAAACTCTTGCCGATCATGAACACGATGAACAGCAGTAACCGTGTCGGCGGTGCTTTTCTTCCGTTTGACATTGTGTGTGAGAATCGGCTGCATGTAGGAATGGGGTGGTAGAATTATAGACTAGAGTCATTGGATGGGGCTAACGGGGTCTTCGCCACTTGTGCCACTGGCTGTGAGACTTATCCCCTCACCCCAACCGCTAGGCGCTGCATCTGCCACTGGGCTTACCGGGTGTTAGCGGCCATCGTAAGTTCCCTTTGGGAACGGAGACGAAAATTTACACTACTTTTACCTCGACCTTGCGAATAACAACTCTCGATTGTAAATGAGAAAGGGGTCACTATTCTTGAGTTGTCATTATTGGTGAGGTTGAAAGTATGCAGTCATGGTCACTAGGTCTGACGATTGAGTCATTATCCGCAAATTGTTGTTATACCCGAGATTGTTATTGACAATGTTGGCAGTATTTGCTTCGTTTCTAGAGTCGGTACTCAATTTGCGATTCATTTGTTGAAAGTGTGTTCGGTTTTAGCAACAGTACACCACCTCCTTCTCCCCGTTCCCCCTCCTGTGCTGCAGGCTGAACTAGAAGACGAAGAAGACGAGGCCGAAGATCACGCAGAGGACCTGGAGAGCGGAGCGGCGTCTTCGCACCACGACGACGACGACGAAGAGGAGGATGAAGAAACGGCGCAGCACACGATGAAAGAAAGCGATGCCTACCATGAGGGATATATCAACATGAAGGGTGAGACTGCTGGCTGTATGATGTAGGGAAGTGTGCTTTTTCACGGGTGGTAGTTCCGCTCCAGGGTGATTAAGGTGAGAAGTGCGATTTCCGGTGCATCATGAAGGATATTAGACTGCCATCGTTGTTTCCGCGAGCTCATGCGCTTCCATGTTTGTGTGCGCATGCATGTTTGTGTGCGCATGCATGTTTGTGTGCGCATGCATGTTTGTGTGCGCATGCATGTTTGTGTGCGCATGCATGTTTGTGTGCGCATGCATGTTTGTGTGCGCATACATATCCCATCACCACCGCTGCCTTGCACTGTAGCCCTGTTCAGTCAATGTCTTGTTAGTCTGTTGTTTTTGTCAATTTCTCCTTTTTCTTGTTTTACGGATTGGGTGCGTGGTTTAAAGTTATAAAAAGAATAAAAAACGCGTGCGTGCATGCTCGTGTGAATGTGTGCATACGTTAAAACACTCATCCTGTGCTAACGTACACATGTGTTCCTGGTTTGTGTGACTTACACACCGCACTGTGTAACGTACACGTGTGTTCCTGGTTTGTCTGACTTACACACCGCACTGTGTAACGTACACGTGTGTTCCTGGTTTGTCTGACTTACACACCGCACTGTGTAACGTACACGTGTGTTTCTGGTTTGTATGACTTACACACCTCACTGTGCAGCCGGTCACAAGTGGAAGAAACGCTGGGGAGTTGTCAAGGAGGGGACGTTCTCCTACTTCCGTGGCAAGCAGGATGCTCTGAAGTCCGGCTGGTTGAACAAGAAGGGTGGCGGAACAGGAACGCTGTCAAGGTAGGCAGCACCATCACCCCCTATTGCACATTCTTTCCACCGTTTTACACTGCAGGAATAAAGCATCGTTTTTCCGGAGTATAACCAGCAATGTAAATACTCGAAATTCAACCAAAGAAAGGCGATGCGGCTTTTACGCCGATGATGAAATTTGTGATAAATATAAATAGAATAGATGTCTGTATTTCGTGGCAAAAATTGGGGGGGGGGGCACGTCTTATACTCCGGAAAATACGGTATACACATGTCGATTCAGTTTGCCCTATTGGCTGGGGATTTTCGAGGGGCTAGGCAAGTGGATCGCGAGAGTGCCTGGCTATTTGCCTGTCTGACATCTTGGACTACGTACTGCCCAATCAGACAGGCGGAACACAGGGATACACCAGCCTAGCACATGGTAAAACATACCTGTATCACAAAAATCTTTTTTGACCGAGCGTGTGGTTTTCGACTGTCCAGCGTCATGTAGTGTTTGGACTGTGCCTGATGAGTGTTGTACGAAAACTTGTTTGAATCGATATTGTTATCCGTATCCACATCAGGTTCAATGCCTCTCTCTATTGGAAGGGAGTTGATGTGAATCTTGTGCTGAGTGCTGAGCTGCGTTTCCCTCAATGGGACATTACCCAACACTGGCTCGACAAGTGTGTTTTGTATATGCATGTACATATGTGCAAAATGGCCGCCAGATGCCTTTGTGTACATATGTACAAAATGGCCGCCAGATGCCTTTGTGTACATATGTACGAAATGGCCGCCAGATGCCTTTGTGTCCATATGTACAAAATGGCCGCCAGATGCCTTTGTGTACATTATATACAAAATGGCTGCCAGATGCCTTTGTGTACATATGTACAAAATGGCCGCCAGATGCCTTTGTGTACATATGTACAAAATGGCCGCCAGATGCCTTTGTGTACATATGTACAAAATGGCCACCAGATGCCTTTGTGTCCATATGTACAAAATGGCCACCAGATGCCTTTGTGTCCATGTGTACAAAATGGCCGCCTTTGTGTACATATACAAAATGGCCGCCAGATGCCTTTGTGTCCATATGTACAAAATGGCTGCCAGATGGCTTAGTGTTCATTGGGTATGGCGTCCCCGCTCGGCATGTCGACCAATGACACGGTTGAGCGTGTTTTTGTGTGTATGAACCATGCGCACTTGATGTGCTTTCTTTCCAGGCGTAACTGGAAGCGGCGTTTCTTTGTCTTGCGTGAGACGACGCTGACGTACCATGAATCGCAGGAGGAGAGCTCCAAGCTGCTCGGCACGATTGAGCTCAAGGCGTGCAAGTAAGTGATGTTTTGGAAATGCCCCTCTGTTTTGGATACCTCCTAGATTAGCTTTTAGCCTTTGGAGAATCCTCAAGTAAATAATATCAAGGTTTGTGGCAGGTGCAGCAAAAGACATACAATACATTTATTTATTAGAAACTTCTCCGCGTTGGCATCAATGCAATGTAGATAAACACAGCATGTATAGATAAGCCGAAACGACAACAGCCGAAACGGAATATTGATAACGATTATAAAACATGAAGAAAATGCCCGCTCCATACGCCGGCAGGAAGCATAAGCTCCGACGAATGCAGCCGACGCTTTCTTTACTAATTACTGCTGATGTGGCATCGTCTTTAGGGTTCGTCCACAAATATCGAGATTTTGTTAGAGAAGATATTTGTTCGTTTGGGGGGGGGGGGGGAGGGTGTTTGGTCCCTGTTCGTCTCGTCCCTTTGGAAAAAACATCGATCTCTTACTTTGGGCAGGCACTGTGCAAACATGCAGTTGATGACCTACGCAAAGTGAAAGTCAACTCCAAGAATACAGCCATGGCAAGGTTGAGAGACTGTGGCAATGTAAACCCAGGTGTATGGTGAATTTGGAGTTCCTGTTGGTCATGTTTCGCAAGGAGATTACGATTCATAAAAAAATATCGATACCCTGCATAAACATGTGCATGTTCGTTTTGAGGGGGGAGGGAGGGGGTCCGGGGAGATATGAAAAAATATCGTCTTGTAAAAATATCGATATTTACGGGCGGCCCCTTAGATATAAAACGTGTGCAAAATAAAACGAAATGAACACGAGTGACCGGACAGCTCAACAGAGTGGAATTTGGGGTGATGACATAATTATTCAGAGGGTTATCCACCTCATTTTCAGAATCATGTGACAGTATGCCATGTTCAACATGTTCAAGAACTAGTTTTGCTAGTGCTGTCGACATCACTGGAAATGGTTGCGGTTCTACGCTTTGGGCCAGCTTACCTTTGAGATATCGCACCCGTTGCGAAAATAGCAAGCGTCTCCTGATTGCAAGGGGTTTCCCCGTTTGCAGCAGACCCGGTGTACTGTAAGCTGCCACATGTTGGTTGAACAGGTCAACTAAACAGCTCCTGACCTTTTCCGAACACTCCACGTGCAATGAGTGCAGACACTTCAGCAACTTGCCATGCTTCCTACTCCTTCTACATGACCCACACTCTGCTCTGGCCATTGCTGATCAACACAGCTGCACACACACAATACCCGGACTTCAATCTGACCAGTAGACACGCCGACACAGAACAGAAGAAACTCAAAGACAAACTCTCTATGTATGCCAGTGTGGCCCTACACCGGATTCATTTGGATGAGGTGTAGAGATCGTCTCTAAACACCACATGACGTTTATGCAGCCAACCAGCAACAGTATGCAGTAGTGCAGTGTTGTGTGCAAAACAAAACTTTGTCTACCTGTCCAATGTAAACTTCCAAATTGAACAATCTCGCATTTGATGCATCGCATGCAGCAAATGCCTTGAAGCCCCATTTTGTTGGCTTTGCAGGTGGGGTTTGAGTGAACTTTGCATGACCCCTACCTTTCGCCAACCTTTCACCGATGGCGATACGCTGTCCTGGTTCATACAGGGCCAGGCAATTACTTGTAGTAAAGCGTACCTTCGCGACTCCTTGAGCGGCTTGGGTACAGGCCCAGGCAATGGTCCTGAACGTAACCGTGCAACTCTCTGGTCTTGCCGTGGGCGATTTGAACGTATGAAGCCATGTGAGAGCTCCGTGATCGGTGCGTAGAGTGAACGGTGCATGGAGAAGATAGTGTCGGAAGTGCTCAGTGGCCCAAACGATACCAAGCATCTCCAAGCGAGTGGTGCTGTAGTTACGTTCGGCCTTGTTAGTAGCGCGACTGGCGAAGGCAATGGGACGGTCACCACCCGTACTGTCAAGTTGACAGAGGTGTCTTCAGTTCGGCGGTCCACCACTTTCAAGAAGCACGCCAGGGTCCCACATTGCACACATGTTGACACCATGAACCTCGCATAGTTTTCTTCGAACAATGGTTGCTTCTTCATACCTTATCAGCCGCCTTGGTTGTTCTTGATGTTATGGGTATTGGTCATCATCGTCGGGTGCTTGTATGACCTCATACTGTCTGTATGCTGGTGTATGCGCTGCACATACACTAGCACATGCTGGACATACACCAGCAGCGCAACTGTACACAGACAACCGAAGGAGGAGCACACAAACTGAAGGGTAGCTGCTGTGTTGTGGCGACTCGTTCATGTGCTGTTGAAACCCAGCGATGCACGGCTCCAAGATTCAAGCTAAAGCCAACTGTACACTGCATTACACTGGTGGCAGCGGTGGGATTCGAACCCACGCCTCCGGAGAGACTGGAGCCTCAATCCAAAGTGTAATGCGTCACCGAGTGGTCTAGGAGGCACACACAAGAAAACTGACGGACAAATAGGTGAATTCCTCGCCATTACTATACTTAAACGTTTTCGTAGTAAATGTTGTTACACGCACTACACCGTCTTCGTCCAGTTCCTTTCTCATCACCACCACCTCCTCATAGACTTGCAGATGGTGTTGCTGCTGTAGTGGTGGTGGTGGTGGTTGTGGTGGTGGTTCTTGTTGGTCATCATCAACGTCATCATCGCTGTCGCTTATGATGATAATTTCTGGCCAATCGTCCTCGTAATCGCTTTCGATGGCACTGTCATCGGCCATCTTCTTCCGAAAAACTTACACAATATAGAGCAAGGAAAAGGTTTTATAGCCATCGATAAGAGTTCTGAGAAGTAACGCCTACTAACGGGTGTTGAGGAAGATACTAGGAAGACTCTTAGGACAAGACCAATGGAAGAACTAGCTATTGGTGTAATGTGAGTAAAACGGGAGAATTGTAATGTACAAAGTACGAGCTAGTGTACAATACACTGGTGGCAGCGGTGCGTGATTCAGTGAACCCTGTACTGCTATAGATCTACACTGGTGGCGGCGATGGTACAGTAATCTTTAGCATTTGAACCCCCTTGTCTTGTCCAAATTTTGAATCTATTCGACCTCACCATGACTCAATCCGCTGCAGCTCCGTGCGACAAATCAAGATGAGAACCATGTTTCTTACCTTCATGCGCCTGGCCCTGCGCCTGGCTCTGCTTATTACTATTTCCTGCGCCTGGCCCTTCGCCTGGCCCTGCGCCTGGCCCTGTGCCTGGCCCTGCTTATTACTTTTAGCCTGCAGCTGCATAGTCAGTGTGGTAGTAGCGTGGATCAACCTTCTCTCCGCACGGCACACACTGGAGACTCCGATGGCGATTCCAAGCGACCCGCTATCTACATGTATACTACCGGTGGTGATGGCGAAGCTGATGAGGACGACGACAGGCAGGCTGCTGCACAAGACAACAAGGATATTTCCCCAGACCAGCAGCGTTTGATTTTCGCCGGCAAACAGTTGGAAGACGGCCGAACCCTGAGTGACTACAACATTTATTATAACATTCAGCAGGAGTCAACTCTTCACTTGATACTTCGTCTCCGTGGTGGAATGCAGATTTTCGTCAACACGCTTCCTGGCTAGACCATCACTCTTGACGTCGCGCCAAGCGATGCTATCGACAATGTGAAGACCAAGATTCAAGACCGGTGATTTGTCTGACGCCGAGCTAGCCGCTCTGAGTGCCCAGCTCAACCAAGATGAAGATAAAACCTGGCTCGCCCTCCGCCGTAGCTCCAGCCGCCATGGTTCCTAACGCTGATTCCAGGTATGGCATTTTCTTTCCTGTCTTCCTTCAATCTCCCTGTTCTCTTCAGTCTTCCTTTACGCGAGTGTGTGAATACAGTTTAGTTCGGTAGGCGTCCGACCATGGTGAGCCACGGCCTACCAAGCTAACCTGGGACAATGTGTGTTAGAGTGCCCTTTGTCCAGTTCAGTTTGGAACTGTGAAATATTTTTATGGCTCAACGCCATGGTGGTACAGCAAGTGTGCTGCGAGTCCTATTTGGAGGACAATTGTGTTTCCTTTGGCCCCGTGAGATCGTGTGAACCTGGAGTGCTGCTATTTTATGATTTTGTTATCAGTTCATTTCTTCTGTCTACTCTCAAAGGTTATCATTTCCGATAGTATTTGCCATATTCCGGTTGACGCTTTACCAGTCATTCGCTATGATGTTCTCACCGCCTCCTATGATATCCTTCCGTTCAAGCCCCTGCTCACCAATACCAGCTCCGAAACAGGAACAACATTCGACCTCCCAATAACTTCTGACCTATTCAGAACTGCGGCTTACCATTGCATTGTTGTGTTCATTTTGTGCTATCCAATCACGAGGGCGTGATTATCTGTAGGAAGGGAGGGTGTAGTATCCCTACCTTGCTGGTAGACAATGTACTATCCTGCATGTACGTAAAGTCTATGTAGCACTCTGACACGTCATGTACATTGTACATTCGGTTGACAGCTCTTATCACCCACACACTAACACGTTCACATCTACTGCACTAACTACTTACATACACTGCACACTAGCTGGTACTTTGTACATTACAATTCTCCCGTTTTACTCACATTACACCAATACTACTAGCTAGTTCTTCCATTGGTCTTGTCCTAAGTGTCTTCCTAGTATCTTCCTCAACACCCGTTAGTAGGCGTTACTTCTCAGAACTCTTATCGCTGGCTATAAAACCTTTTCCTTGCTCTATATTGTGTCAGTTCCTCCTGGCAGATTGAGCCGGAGCAGTTGTGTTTTTACATATTGTTATTAAAAGTTGTACTTCAGGCAGGTTGAGCCGAAGAACCTATTTTGTCCGTCAGTTTTCTTGTGTGTGCCTCCTAGACCACTCGGTGACGCATTACACTTTGGATTGAGGCTCCAGTCTCTCCAGAGGCGTGGGTTCGAATCCCACCGCTGCCACCAGTGTAATGCGTCACCGAGTGGTCTAGGAGGCACACACAAGAAAACTGACGGACAAATAGGTTCTTCGGCTCAACCTGCCTGAAGTACAACTTTTAATAACAATATGTAAAAACACAACTGCTCCGGCTCAATCTGCCAGGAGGAACTCACACAATATAGAGCAAGGAAAAGGTTTTATAGCCAACGATAAGAGTTCTGAGAAGTAACGCCTACTAACGGGTGTTGAGGAACATACTAGGAAGACACTTAGGACAAGACCAATGGAAGAACTAGCTAGTATTGGTGTAATGTGAGTAAAACGGGAGTATTGTAATGTACAAAGTACTAGCTAGTGTGCAGTGTATGTAAGTAATTAGTTAGTGCAGTAGATGTGAATGTGTTAGTGTGTGGGTGATAAGAGCTGTCAACCGAATGTGCAATGTACAATGTGCATGACTGTACATGTATGACTCAGAGTGCTAAAAGACTGTCCATGCATCATAGTTATTTTTGTTTACATACATGTATATGCACAGGGAATTTTCTAGAACCGCCCCAACCGGTTTTCGACCGGTTGAAATTGTTGGCGACCGGTTGAAAAGTTACAAATCAGTTCCAACCGCCCGTACTTTTCTGTGGGTGAATGGAGCTGTGAATGGTCAAACGCTTTTTCTGGACGGATACTTCCAGCGAAGCCGCGTGGGCTGGTACTAGGGTCACGAGTTTGTACGGTTTGTGTGTCGAGTGTCATAGTTGGGTTGTATTTTGAAAAAGATTTCCGGGGGACCCCCCGACTCTTCATTGGACCGTAACCGGTTGGAAATTCTTCCTAGAATATACCCTGATGCAGGATACTACATTGTCTACTAGCAAGGTAGGGATACTACACCGGCATGAAAACAAGGCACAGTACATCGTATCCATGAAAACCTGATAGAAAAGGGCAAAAAAAGATATAGCCTCCTCCGACCAGAACTGGCGTATTTCGAGCAGCCGTTTGAAGGCCATGTTGAACAGTAGTGCAACGAGACAAACCTCTCTTTATTGGTGTTTTCAACCCACCCACCCTCCTTGTACGCAGAGTTCTCGTTCCCAACATTGTCGAAGCAAATTCCATCTTCATGATGCAATCCATAGCTGCTAGTTGAGCGTCTAACCTCTACCTGTATGCAGTTTATTTGCTTAGTTCTCAATTTTTTAATTGTAGGCAACGGGTTTGGGTTTTCCCTCATTTCCACCCAGGCTTCTGGCATGCAGTGCCGAAAAAAGGCCCAAAGGGTTGTTGCCAAAGGGTTAATAGATCAGGTTGAAAAGTCTGTGCAAGAGATAGCAAGGTCCATTCCGAGCGGTGTACAAGTTATGCTAATGACATCATCTCGTTGGCTTGGAGTCGCAAATCCATGTTTGTGAAACCGCTCTGTACAAACACCTCAAATGATGATGTCATCGATGATGTCATTGCATAACTGGCATACTGCTGGTCGGATTGGACTAGCAGGAATGAATTGCCTCGGACTTTGTATAAGCCTTATGCACGTTGTACAGATGCACGAAAATCCCGTAGAATCTCGTAGAATCCTGTAGACCCGGTTGGGTGTTGAATGTGCAGGACCCTGTTGTGTTTCCTGTATCGTGTTTACTGCTATTTTCACTAAGAAATGGGCCCTGGAGGCATTTCAAATGAACACATTTTTCTGACAAAGATCTAGGTAGTCCAGTGTATAGCCTACACCCCCTCTTCCATTGACACTGCAATAGTTCAGCTCATTTCACAATAATCATTCCAACGTTTCGATGGAAGAGAGCGTGTGGGCTCTACTCTGGACTTATGAAACTGCAGGAAACCTCCCCACTTTTGCTTTAAGATCTAGGTAGTCATTAGTTCTAACCAAAGTGAAGAAGCTGGAAAAACGATTGGTTGCCATTCATTATGCGTGTGCGTGCGTGTGTGCGTGCGTGCGTGTGTATATATGTGTGCGTGTGCGTGCGTGGGTACGTGTATGTGTGTGTGTGCGTGTGCGTGCGTTTGTGCACGTGCGTTTATGCTCATGCACGCATGCTTGTGTCTCGGTTGCCAGGAATATCGTGACATTCAGCAAATCGTTTGAATTTGGCATTGAGCTGTCGCATCGTACCTATCACATCACAGCAGAATCAGAGGACGAATTCACGTAAGCTATGTTCTTTTTCTGCAAATGTCCGATACAAACTGTACGTGCTTGGAAAAATTATGTCGCGCCTAGTCATTCCAGGTATACTTCAGATTCTTGGCCACCGGCACCAAGTAACAAGGTTCCTTCAGGGTACAACTGGGCCTCGCTTGGCTCACTTGGACTGTCTCTGCCAGCGCACTCCTCCGAGCTGGCAGTTGACGTGCTGCCAAGACACCCTGGTCAAGAACTTCAGCACGTAGCGCCGCAATAACTAATGACAACTATTTTGGCCTACACGTGTGGATCCAACGCTTTACTGCCCTTTTTCTCCAATGTTTGAAAGGTTGCAACATGTGATTTCTACCTGTCCCGCTCACATAGTAATTGTGTATAAATATGTGTGTGTGTGTGTGTGTGTGTGTGTGTGTGTGTGTGTGTGTGTGTGTGTGTGTGTGTGGGTGGGTGGGCGTGTCTGTGTGTCTGTGTGTCTGTGCGTGCGTGTGCGTGCGTGTGCATGCATTTTGCTGTGTATGTTGGTAACCACTGCTCCGTACAGAGAGTGGGTTGGTCTACTTCGCAAGGTGATCACAGCCAGTGAACAGGATCTCAAAGAATTCCAAACATCCAGTGTCGACTCCAGACTGGCGGTGGTACGTTGACCTTCTGTCTTTATTCCGTGCCCTGTGTACTAGAACTGCCTCACTTGGACTGTCCCTTGGACTGTCGCCGCCAATGGACTCTTTCGTGTGTGTATGTTTGTGTGTGTGTGTGTGTGTGCGTGTGTGCGTGAGTGTGTGCGCGCGTGTGTGCGTGCGTATGCGTGCGTGTGTGTGTGTGTGTGTGTGTGTGTGTGTGTGTGTGTGTGTGTGTGTGTGTGTGTGTGTGTATGCATGTTGGCAATTTGTTTTGGGCACGTAATGCCATGTACTCGTAGTGAAGTACATAAGCGAATTCCATGATGTTGTATGCAGTCATGTTATGTGTACATGTCTAGCCTCTGTTTGGTGGAGTCGATGGCTAGTGGGACAGCGCTGTGCTGGCACTAGCAACACGCACTGCCCACATCGCACCCATCAGAAAATCCGGCGTGAAAACATTCACATAACCTCTATACCGACCTCTGTGTGTTCGATGCCGTCTTCTGCTTTCGTTCACCTGCTGTTTTCTTCAGGGAAGTATCGAGCTATCTAGCATTCAGTCAGTCGCTCCCACTGGAGGAAATGCAAGGTTAGAGCGCATGGGCACATGCATACCGTATTTTACCGGTTGTAAGTCGACCCCGGTTATAAGTCGACCCTTCTATCTGGAGGTCTCAATTCTGCATTTTAAAGTTTTCACCCAAAGAAGCACTACTAACCACCTCCTGCTACTAACACATCAACAAATCATGTAAACATTCCTTATTGAAGGATATAACGTCCCAATCCTTGAAAAAGGCCAATAAACTGGCAAAATGTGTAAACATGGTGCACTCGTGCATGCAGTGCAGGTCATTTTTTTTGAAGATTCTGATAGTTACCGGTTATAAGTCTAATCCCGGTTGTAAGTCGACCCCCACCCTTTCTCCTTCTATTTAAAGTCGTAAAAGGTCGACTTACAACCGGAAAAATACGGTAATAATCTGTGCTGAAAGGATTTCCCAGAGGCGATGGCTTGTCAAGGGGATCCCCTGATGCAGTAGAAATAATAGTGTAGGGTCGATGGTGCCAGATGCAATAAAGGGCGTATAGAAATGTGTGTCACCTTATGAGCTAAGTAAAATGAACGGCTAAGCTGCGTGGCTTGTGACACAGGGACGAACCTTTTGCTTATGAACCGGGCATCTAATGTATTTACTGGGCCCATATATTCCGAAACTCCTATTCTAAGAACGAAATTAGTTTGCCCGTGCTTGTAATATACCCCATTGTTCCTTATCTGTGCGAAGTGCCCAATGCCTATGCTGGCTGAACATGAAACGGACAACTTGATGAATGCTGCTCCTACTTCTAGGCTCATGGCAGGGGCGCCGGACACGGTACGGTCACTACGGTATTCACCGTACCACGTTTTGCCCCAGGTTCCCTGTAAATCAATAAAATACGCTGATCTGGGCTCTAAATTTCCAAAAATGTCTTGTCAGCAACCCCTCCCCCACGAGTAAATTGTACTTCAAATGGCTGACCGTACCACACTAAAATACCTTCCGACGCCCCTGCATGGTAACAACAATCATTAAACAGTCCATCCCGGTTGCTGATGGTTGCTTTTCGCATGAAACTTGAAGTAGCATCAACACTCGCGTGTATGTACTGCAACGTACAGTGAAACCTGTCTGAGACGACCGCTCGAGAGACTTTCAAAATGTAGGCTCTGTTACCAGGTGGTCTCCTTATCCAGGGTCGTTTGACTGGAAATAGCATCCCTTGGTGCTGGTTTCAGTGGTCTTCTAGAACAGGTGTTCGCCGTATCCGAGTGGTCGCCTTGTCAGGTTCTACTGTAGCATAAACACTCGTGTGTATGTACTGCAACGTAGTCATAAGTTTGGCGGATTGAAAACTGAAATTGCGTATGCATGTTGGTCTTCTGAAAGTAGATGGCTGAAGGCACGGCGTTAAAATTAACCACAACTACAGTCCATTCATAAAAAGATGGGCCCTGACTCCGGCGAGCTCCCGTATTTATTAGACAGAGGCCTCAGCAGTGGCATCCGAACCAAGACTGTGTCACCTTGAGAATTTCCTCCTCTCTCTGTCCTTCACCGAGCAGAGCAAGACCGATATATTGCTCTTCGTTAGAGGAGCGAGGGCAGTAACTAGAATCAGACGTTGTCGCATCCGAAGCGGTTCCGTTTAGCACAGAGGCGATGATGTCTTTGAGTGAAGCTGTCCGGGCGGTTATAGCAAAGTGCAACTTCTTCTTCAACTTTGGTGCCATGTTGGTCAAAAAGATTAAACACAAACCCTATAATTATTATGAGCCAACATGATCTTCAGCGTGCGCTTAGCTTCACGTCGCTGCAAATCACACACCGTATTTCCCCGATAATAAGTCACACTTGATTGTAAGTCGTTCTCGGTTATAAGTTGCACCCCCATTTTCCGGTTTGAGCCATATTGTTTCGATATATTGACTTCAGTTGTAAGTCAAGCTCGATTGTAAGTCGCACCCCCTTTTCTACCCTTGAATTTTAGTGTAAAAAGGTGCGACTTACATTCGGAAAACACTGACACAGGGAAGTGTGTGTGTGGGGGGCGGGGGGGGGCAAGGAAGACATCAAACGCACACCGTCTCACAACAGTGGACGCTTGGCAGCAGGCTTGACAGCATAACCGGCCGCCTCTTCTGCAGGGAGCTCAAAAGCACAATCAGCAACCTCTTCCTCCTCTTCTGCATCCTCAGTTGCTCCAGGGGATCTTGGGGTCACAGCGAGAACAGACACATCAGCAGGAGTTGGAAGATGTGCCAAATTGGCTGTCAAGTCATCCACAGCCAAGTCCTTCCGGTTCCTGCTCATGGCAAAGTAGTGGGCAGGCGCAGACTACTGCAGCACGAACTTCCGAAACTGAAACTGAGCTTTCAGAGCTGCTTTTTCAAAAAGATCATAAATTTGGAATATTTGGAAAAGTGCAGCAAGAAACACAAACATCGTCAGCATGCCATGAGCGATGACTTGACTTACTGTTGTTCATTCGGTTCAACGCATCAATATACACTTCTCCACCGACTGCAGGATACTTGGCGTGGTACTTTGCCCAAAAAATTAGAAGCCTCTAAGGCAGCTCGATGTTGGCAACTGGTTTGGTGACAAACGTGGTTCCAGCGTGACCAGCAGCGGCAGCAATACACAACACCACCACCACGAACACCATGACTAGGCAGTTCCCCTCAGCCATCTCCAGGCTTCGCTCGATATCCAACCTCAACACGTTGCCAGAGCACACCATCAGTGATGGCGGCGAGAAGTGCAAGTCGTGCGCCTACTTCCTCCACAGTTGTCCACAGGCCATGTTGCTCAACTTCCTTCGACTGGCGCTCCTTTCTCTCATGTTGCACTTGCAGCTTCCTCGCGATCTCCGCCTCCTTTTTTTTATTGAGGCAAACCGTTGCGCTAGGATCTCCTGCTGCCGCTCCTTGTACAGCAGTTGCATGGCAAGTGCAGCTTTCCTGACACTGGCAATGATTTCGGACCTCTGCTCTTCTGATTTGGCAGTCAGCAACTCTGCTGTTCAGTTGTTGGCAAACGCAATCATCCTGAACGGCGCATGCGCGTTCGATCCATTGCAGCAAAGCTGGTTCGATCTCCCAGGAGAGTATTTACATCCTCCTGTCCCCATTGTGCTTCCAATTCGCTCACCACCTGTCGTGTGATTTCCCGTTGGTTGCTTTTAGTGACGGGCTGTGTTGTTGTTTTCCTTTGCACAGGTTTGATGGATTTTCCTTTGCACAGGTTTGATGGATGGGCACTTTTCAATAGGCGCCACGGGTACTTTGCAAGGGAAGCAGGCATTCCACTCCTGCTTGGACCAGCACCCATTGCAGTCCTCTACGCTGTGGCGGTCTTTCTCACCGGTCCGCAGCTTCCTCCAGCTCTCCAGTCGAAACGTGTTGAGGTACTCTCCTATGGACTGTGCACGCCATCGCCGCTGCATCAGTGCAGCTAGCCACTGGCTTCACCTGGCAAACTTTTCCTTTGACATGTCACAGCCGAAGAACTGAGTGAATGCCCGGTGCCGCTCGTTCAGCGTCAGCTTCTTGTTTTTGTGGAGTTGGGACATGTGCGCCCTGGCATAGTGACATCTTATGGTTTCTGCCATGGTGCTGCCTGCAGGGAGAGCTAGGGTATCGGCTGCAGGTGTAATGCGTCACCGGGTGGTCTAGGAGGCACACACAAGAAAACTGACGGACAAATAGGTTCTTCGGCTCAACCTGCCTGAAGTACAACTTTTAATAACAATATGTAACAATATGTATAAACACATATTGTTGCTGCTGTAGTGGTGGTGGTGCTGGTGCTGGTGGGCCATCATCAACATCATCATCATCATCGCTGTCGCGGATTAGTATCACCTCTGGCCAATCGGGCTGATAGGGACAGGCGACGCGAGATCTCGATTCATCAATGGAGTCAGTTTGCGATAACTGGCCGTCTAAATAATCCCACACCCGGGCCGTCTGCATCTTCGGCTTGTCCACCCAAGCGCTCTCAGATAGCTCGCTGCCGGACCTCTCCACCACCAGGCGCTTCGGCTTCCAGCCATACATCGCCTCGGCCGGGCTGATTCGAGTGACACTATGCGGACGTACACGGTACTTGAATAGCAGCAGATCAAGAGCCGCTTTCCAAACATAGCTGATTAGAAAGCGGCATGGACAGGGGACGGGATCACAACGGGATCAGCGGAGAGCGAAGCGGCATGGACAGGTGACGGGATCAGGGTGGGGGAATGCAGGGGAATAACCTGACCAGCAATGGACATGGTGGAAGTGGCGAAATCAAGCGAACACGCTTGGGCATGCAAAAAGTCAACCCCTAGAATAACCTCGGGATGGATGGAGGCAACTAAGACAGGCGGGGTGGTGGGCGAAACAGAAATGTGCAACTCAGCTTGAACCAAAATCGCTACGGACGAGCCATCCACGGAAAGGATGCTCCGGCTCAATCTGCCAGGAGGACCTCTCGGGGATCTCTATCTCTGTCTCTGGGATATCTGCTTTCTAGAGAAGCTGACAGCGGCTTCTATAGGGTGAAGGTTTCTGGCGCAGCAGGCGGTCAAGTTGCGCGCAGTCGCGTTCTGAAAGAGTATTTGTCTTGAGGACGGAGGCGGTCTGCTTGGCAAGCTCGGGGCTTGACTC